GATTTTATCAGTGTCACATCAGGACCGTTGTCCAACAGAGCATAGCCCACAATCTCGGCATTTCGCGATTTCAACCGTACGGGAATCATTCCTAAACACACTTGACTGATTAGTGATTTAGTTTATCCGCAACAATATGGGATACCAGGTTTATCATTTTCGCTGTGCAGCAAAGAATGGTGTTTCTTCTCACAACCATTAACGTTACAACGCTTTGTCAGCTTACATTCATTAACTTTATGTCCTTGCCTAAGGCAGACAAAACAGATGCCATTAACTTTTGCGTGAGACCATCTCTCTTGAACTGTAAGCGCTAAAAATTTTGGACATTCATAAATAGCATGGTCCTGGGAACACACACTGCATTTAGCTCTCTCTCTCTCGGATTATTCTCCTGCTACAATTGCAAGTAACAATTTGTCTTTAAGTTGTGTCCCTTTCTCGGACGATTCGCTAACCGTCCAAACCTACTATTAGCTACTCTCGCGCGAGATGCTATAAACTGGGTGAGCTCGTCAAAAGTCGGTTCTCTATTATCTTCAGTCAATTCATCCACCCAGTCCGCCCACTGGGCTTGCATAGATTGAGGTAAGAGTCTTACTATCCTCTCTAAAGTAATTAGGGAATTTAAATCGGCCGTATACTTCATCTGTTTCAAGACCATGGAACAATTTTACATCCTTATAGCTAGATTTGTCAGTTGCTCAGGATCACTGTAATCAACATTTTTAGTTTTGAATAAGTCCTCTAAAGTTTCTCGAGCAATTACATGCGCCTGTCCAAACAACCGTTTTAGAATTTCTTTGGCCTTCTTGTAACAAGAATAGGCTTCCAACATAACACAACCCTCAATGGCTGTTTTCGCTTTACCCTTACAATAATGTATCAAATAAAGCAAGCGTTGACTATCATCCTTGACCCTTGATTCTACATAGGTCTCAAACTCCCTTAAAAAATTCCAATAACCTCTTGGCTGACCGTCGAAATAACTTAACTCAACCTTTGGTAACTCTGGACCTACGAAAGGCGCCGTAGGCATCACGCCTTTCGCTTGCTTCACGTCTAAACTAAGGTTTTCTATGCCATCTGCCATTATATCACAACTAGATTCACTATAATGACAATCGTCCTCATTAGAATATGAACCATGACACATAGAAGCATCAAAAGGCATTTGCCTTGATTGAGGAGATCCATCCTTTTGTTCATCTCTTTTAGCATCCACGAGCCTTGAACTTAATTTCCTTCAACTATTGTTTGGCATCGCAAGCGAACGACCAAATATTTTCAGAGACAATGATTGGAATCAAGGAAACGAAAGCTAAACGAATTCGAACAAAATATTTGTTTAGAACTGTAAGATCCAAACTACGGTTTGGACTAATGGACAGCTGTCTGGATGAGTTAGATACGCGCCATCGCCCGCTTGAAACGAAAACAAAGTAATTGGGTAAGATGACGGTTCTAAACAAGTATGATCACTCAGCTATCCAACCAATAATCGTTCAATTGATCAAATCAATCACAACAAATAAATGTTATTCTATCCTGTCTGGATAGACCACGTACAGATTAGTTCAAAAGGTAATAATTGGTCTCTCTATAACACAGAGTGTTTTCAATTCTGGAAGAGTGCCTCAATTCACAACCAAAATGCACAATTCCAGTCAACACAGGTAAAGCAATCAAAAGGAGGAACAAACCAATATGGCTGCCGCCAAGACTGAGTATAAAGTAAAACAACATAAGTGTAGTTCGAGAAGAAACACGGGGAATTAGTGAAGGTGTAGTAAAAATAAAAACTATAATAAAATACAAATGTTGGCAATTCAAATGTAATCCAAAACTAACAATGTACAACTAAAAAGATCAATAAGAACAAAGGGCAAGTATGCATATGGAGGGATTTTCACAAACACACAAAACATTCCAAATGGATCTTACAATTATTATGGTGCTTATGATTGCTTTCCTTTAAACTGGTTATATATTTTGTCGAAGAAACTTTACCTCTTATTACCTAACGCCGACAAAAAATATATTCAAGTGCTTTCTAAGAAAACGTCTCACCAAATATTTTGCATCCAGGAAGGACTCTGAATTTTTTATTGCTTCGACACTATGTGGTATTTTATTTGTTGTCACTGTATATTTGTACATGTTGTGGACCAAGCGAACTGCGGTAAATTTTCTAATCTTGCAAATTCACCTTACCTGCTGCTCAGCCTGTACTCAATCTTCTAACAAAGTAAACGCCTCAACAGGCCCAAACACTACAGTTTGCGTATCTCTGCCATGTTACATTTAATTTACCAGAATCCCAGTGAAAACTGCAGAAGTTTCCAGATATTGATACATTTAGTTAGGCTAGTGCTAGTGATGTGACTGAACAGTTGACGACTGACTTCGTAGATTATAGACCACAGGCAACTAAACCGTCCCTCATGCAGCGAAAATCACTGGTGACAGCCAGGCACTCCGGACAATTAGACATCAGCCGTTATCTAAGGCCCAAATGCTCTCAAAGACATTACAATACCTCAATACATGACATAACATTGATAAGCAATAATTAGTCTACTAAGTAGAGGACCTTGGTGACGACCGATCAACGAAGAAGCCTCTTGTTGAAAAACAAACAAAAAGCACATTTACATTTCAGTAGTAATAAAACCGAAGTAATGGGTAAGGTTGGTCTGCTAATTGGTTCATACTCGGTTTCACACCAGCTGCACACTCAATATTCTGCTATCTTGACAAATCTGTGTGGTGCCCAATTTCTTCACCCGGTATTTAGACCTAGTAAAATCGAGGTTGTCACATCGCTTCAATACTCAAAGGATGTCAGAGCAATTGTCCTACCAGTCAGTGATTTTTCTTTCTGTACACTGTTAAGATGTAGAGTTTTTGTCTGCAGCTCCGTTTGTAGCTGTCTAAGGAAATTATTTATCTTCCAAGGAAGAAGATTTGGCAGGGTTCTCAGTAATAAGTGCTGAGGCCATCGCTCGTTATGGAATTCGTAAGCGGTCTTCACCTTAGATGTCTTTCTTAATGTTTGTGGGGCTAATGGAAGGTAGTCGTGCCGTAGCCAAATCATCCATTGGGCAGTGAATGCAAACCAATTTACTGATCCTCATTATTGTCAACTACAACCAGCACGTATCAATTAATTTTGTGTCACGAACAGTCTCATACGGTAGTAGTTCCATACGAATTTCTACAACATGTTGATACTAACATATGCTGATGCTTATTGGGAGCGTTTGTTCTAGCAAGTCGTTTAGGAAGTTAATTCACATGGTCACCATGATAGCATAATCTAGGTGATCTGTTGATTTCGAGTTTTGATTTCGATGTATTCCAGGTCAAACTGTTTCTTCCCAATCCGAGTAGGCCCGTCATTATTCACAAAGGCCACCTGCTTTAGTGATACACATGTTTCTTCATGGCAACGATGTAAAGCTCGCAAAAAACTTCGGTAGGACTCAAATAAGTTTTCAAGTCTGGTGGATAATAATTGATTCGCATTTATGTCTAGAAGTTACAAAGTATTTTTTTGGATAAAAGCAAACTGCGTTCTCTGTTTGAATAAATCTCCATTCAAAGTATCGCAAGCCGAACAACGTTAAAGTTTCTTAATCCCCTGGGGTCTGAAATTAGGTGTTGAATGTTGGACTAACAAATTTGAAGTGCTATTTTAGAAAACTTTTGTGGTAAACTGATATACCGCGAAGTCTAAATCTTAAGCCAGTTTGTTACCAGATTAGATAAGCCCTATGACACATTGAAATGTGGTCTGATTTGTACGCCTGAATAAGAGCCTTCAACTAGTGGCGTGTTCAGGAAGATCGGTACAGAAATATGTCAAAGCTACTCACCTTGGGTGAATATTTACAGCTACTAGAGACTCGGGGTTGGTTTGATAATTGATTTTGACACTGCAGGATCCTCTGGAGATAAACCAAGACGTGTAAGTACGTTTTTGATTTGAGGTGTAAAACCTTAAGGATAGATGTCTGGTGTAGGAGGTCAACCTGTGAACATAACTACAACCCTTCAAGAGTGGAGATGTCTTATTATTTCTTACCATCTAATGTTGTTCAGGAAACTTCCTCGGAAAAAGGAGATGATTTTATATTTTCCAAAGGATTCAACGGAGAATCCCATGATGGTTTGTCAAGCGTTTATTCGTTCAAGCATTTTTATTCGTATGCCTGAGTTCTTACTGTAATGTCGAGCGAAGGAAGTCAAATACAAACATTTGCCGCATTTGTGACCTGCATTCACTTGTATGGTAATATAAACATCTGAGATATGAGTTGGAAAGTGCTTATGTGCCGCAATTATAGGTGATATGATACTGCACGATGCTTTCAGCCTAGTCTTACGTGAAAGTTGTATTATTATATTATACACTGACTCATCGTTCGTGACCACTGAGAAAATGATACTTCGTACTTCTAAAGAACCCATTTGGGTTGGGGATAGAACAATATATTTAATGTGGATAGTAATAAGTTTCACATAACGACCACGTCTGCAAAGTTCAATCCTGTCATCCAACTTAATGAATGCTTCTGAGTTCAGCATCTCTAAACTTCTCTTAGTGTTACAATATGAAAGCGAGTCTTCTTAGTAATTGTACGTCCAGCTTCTAAGACCGTGTGGTTAGGATCCAATACCACTACAGATCTATACTAATAGTTACGGAACGCTTCGAGCAAAAACTCCTGATGTTCCGATCACAATGATTCCAAGCCTGTTAAAGTAATCAAATGGTCTAGACATACTTATTATCAAAAGCGAGAATTGCATTAATCCAGTTATGTAAAGAATACAAACTATGAAATTCATTTCTATCAGTGAAATACAAAACTATGAGGTTCTTAGTTTTTTTGCAAAATAAATTCTAGTACAAATAGTCGCACAACTTTTGATTTGTTTATGTGCTCATAAACATGGAAACACGAGGGTTTATATGGCGCTCACTCTAACTGATAATGGAAAGTAGTGCGAAAATAAAGGAAGTAAGTATGACCTACAACCTCACCACAACTATTTTTTGTAGTTTTGATTTTTTTCAGAATAATCCATAGTTCTGAACTCATACTTAGCTTCCAAAGTATAAAATTGTCCAACGTACTTCAGAATGCCAATGTATAGGACTTTTCAAGTTATAATTTCATTAAAAGCGACAGTTGACTCCAATGAACAATTTTTTCTATCTCTATATGTTGGTATTATACTTAGGTCCTTAGTGTTTAAATGATAGAAAATAATGTAGGAAGTATATAGTTGGTTTATATATCTAAGAAGTTATGCTTACGTGATAATAATGATTTCACTTTTTAGTAAGCGGCATGCATACAACTAAGTAGTTCATGTTGTCAGTTATTGCGGTTCATTCTATTTGATGTAGTCAGTCGCAAATTTTTAATCAATTATTCACCTTTATATATATATATATACTACAAACATATCTACTGGCCAAATAAATAAGTCACTTATAATTCCACTTATTTTGACATATTTTTCTGATCGGTGTTAAAATTTGCGGTTGTATCTGTCGTAGAATTTTTCGTGGCGTGTATTAGTTGTTGTCTGCAGCGATGCGTTTTTTATATCGAGAAGTGTTAGTCCTTGTTCACTCATATAGGAGGCAGGGAATCAATCGTGACCGCAGTTATACCAAGTAGCCGCCCCGATATTTTGTTCATGTACAATAACAATAAATAAATAACCTGGTATTTCTTCAAAAATGTCATTGCATCATCTAGGAAGCCATGCAAAAACCAAACTATCAATTAGTACACCAATGAGTCAAGTGAACAGTTGTTCAGACATTATTTCATCAAAAAATTGGTTTGCCAAAATGTGATATAGTGAGTCGATAGATAGTTTCGATGTTGATATTTTGCATCCAAGACTTAGTAATGACAAGTAAAGTTCAGTTCGGTTCATGGAAATATCGGTTCATAGATTCAAAATATCTTGTTAAGTACTTTATTTTTTGGTTCGTAATGCAGTGTTAGATCGCTTTATTCTATCCATCTTCACCAGCTGTATGATCACACCTTCTGTTTATAAACCGCCATAGACAATCAATCATCAAATTTTAGTTCCGATAGATAGTTTGGTGCCTGTTAAGTAAGTGAATACTGTAAGTGAATACTTGGAGAACTACCACAACCATCGTCAGAAAGGTACAGATATTTATAATCAATTGTCTACGTAAGCTACTGAACGTCCGTTGACCGGAAACCATCAACAACAGTCTACTGTTTGAGAGAACAGACCAGTTTCCATCTGAAGAGGAGATAAGTAAAAGATATAGTATATTGATAGAAAATACATTACGGAAATTATCGAAGTGCATCACGAAACAAGTGCTAACTTGGAATCCTGAAGGTAAAAGAACAATTGGAAGAACAAGGAACACATTGTGTCGGTAATTGGAAGCAGACATGTAAAGGATGAATAGCAACAGGAAGCAAGTAGGAAGGCGAGTCCAGAACAGATTTGGATGGAGAATGCTGGTGGGTGGCTTATGCTTCTGGACGAAGGGTAACAGGCGTAAGTAAGTGATTAAGTTTATTCTAAAGTATAAAATTTTAATATAGCATTACTCTGTTAAGTGAATTAGGAAAGAAGGTAAATTTTTATTTGTTTAAAATTTATTATTTTAATATTGTAGAAGCTTATTAGTAAAACAATTTCTTTACTTTTTGATTTATTAGTTAGAAGGAAAGATAAAAGTGTATGAAGATGAAATCCTTAAAAAGGATGAGTTAATTCAAAAATTATCCAGGTAGCTAATTATTCGATATTTTAATTTGTGTCAATTTTCTGATTCCTTTAGTATGGATATTGATCAAGTTAAATCTACTGAACAGAAACTTACTGATCATAGTAATAGTATAGAACATGAACAATATCAACAGACAAGTATAAAACGTGAAGAACTTGCAACATTACGAAGCAAGGTTGGACAATTATGTGAAAAAGTAAATAATTTTTATTATCAATGGTACACTTTATGGTTGAGCATAAAATATACGAAACAGATTTTTCCAGTATAAAGGTGATATTCATACTATGGATTATAACTACAACTTGAATTTCTGCAATGATCTATAGGATTTAGATTGGTTATGCTACAAATCGATACAATATAACCGAGTAACAATTGATCATAAAACAGAATATTACGACTTGTTTCACTTAATGACAGTTCATAGATAGAGGGCCGATTTATAAATCAAGTCAGCCAGTCATACTAATTAAAACATGTTCAGTAAAATAATGCATTTATTTGTTCATAAAAAATCGTATTCAAAGGGAATTAATCCAGTACAACTTGTCTGTTGAGGAATATTAAATTAAATGTAAGAGAAATACTGTTAGGCAACTTATTATTATCAATATAGAAAATAGAAGTGGATTCTAAAGCATAAAACATACTTTTGTCAGAAGATTTATTTTCATAGTGATCATCTGATCAACTACAACTCAGCTATTATTGTTTGTACTTTTATAAGATGATAGTCACTCTACATTGTTTGTAGTTATTTCAGAGTTGACAAGTTAACTTAACTAACTTTGTGATAACAGTTTCAAACTAAGATGAGGTATCTATTCAATATCACCTGGTTCTTAATGACTCCATAATAATCAACTAAATAAATGAGAATTATAATAAAATCTGCTAGAACAGAACAAGCAGAATCTAACAAAAATTGGTAAAAGTTTTTTTGGAAAAAGGAAGTATCACTTTTTATGCTTCAGTAATTTGATAAAAATTTATATGAAAAAATGTCTTCCTCTACTATCACTTTCCAAACTGTTAAATCTGCTAAAATCTTACTGCACAATATTCATAATTCAGATGATCATATGAGAGTAATTCATCTATACTTTTGGGTATAACTATGATTCATATTATTCGTGATTCTTGACACTCAAATATAAAAAGAACTATTTTTAAGTCTTTAAAATAAATAGAACATTCAATTTTCAATGTTAAATGAATGAAATATCGGATACTTTATTTTAAATTTACAGACATTAAATCAAGAAAGTGAATTAAAAGCAAAATCAACACTGTTAACTAAAGCGGAAACAGATATTGTCAAGTTAACCCATAAAAACAATGAATTAATATCTGAAAATGAAAAATTAAAAAAACAATTAAATGATTATACAACAAGCATTAATACAAAAATTACTGAATATGAAATATGCAATAAAAAATTGAATGAATCAAATCAATTATTGAAAAGTGAACAAGACAAGATAGATGAATTGAAAAAGCGTTTAAAGTAAGTTATCATTTTGTTTAATTAAATAGGTGCTTTTATGAAATATGTTTTTTTCGAATCAATGAATATTGGACACATTTTAGTTATATTTCTGCTATGTTTAATTATCAGTTCATTTTTTCGGATATTAAGTTGAGGCTGATAGTTGCAGGATATAGAACTTATAGAAGAACCTGATGAAAATATTAAAATAATTACTTATTGTTACAAAAAAACATAAAAGGGTATGATGGAATGTTCTGATAGAATAGCAACAAACAGGCTATATTCTACATAAAGCGGCCTGCTTGAATATCTGGGCTACCTGTTCCTGCCATCTGGATATTTCTATAAGTTATTTGTTTTCTTGTTTGTTTTAACACATCATTATGCCTATTAGTCTCATAAACTATTCAGGTGCGTTCATGAAAAGTATACGACATTTCGCTGTACAAGTTACAAAAGAGCTTAATCAGAGACATCGTGGTTGCTGGAAGAATGCATCGATAAGAATATAAATTATTCAGACATCGACTCCTGAACTGCTAACATTTAACTGGCGACTACCAAATATTTAACTTCAGGTTCGATCAAGAAATAAGAAAAGGAAACTTGTTGAAACAGTTTGTGCTAAGAATTCTATATTGTACCAAAGATATAATATTGAATAAAGCCACTAAAAGTAATAATAATATACGATCAACGGAAAAACAGAGCCGTTTTGCCACTCAAATATTATGTTTTTTGGAATTTCAGAAATATTGTAATAATAAATGTTCTAGAATTGCGAACAACTGTTATTGAGCAAAATAATATTTTTTTCATATATTCTTAACCAACCTAAAGTGACAGCAGGTATATTGGTTAGCTATTTTGGGTTGTTCAATTCGACATGTAAGGAAACTATTATTCAGGTTTCATAGTAATGTGATCAATAAAGTTAAGGTAAGGAAACTTCTGCCTGATTGACTATCAGATCAAAATGTTGATGCTTAACTCTGTTAATTTTAATCAATGTGATGTCATACTAACTGACGTCTCTGTCACATCCTCTGCTATGAAATAAAACCTAATCAACATAGTCCCATGTGTTTATCAATATAATTATTTAAAACAATTAGTCCCTTTGATAAATTTCGATAATGATATAAGAAGACGAAGATTATCAGAACTATGTGATATTAGTTCTGACAATCTTCGTCTTCTAATATCATTATCGAAATATAATTATTTGTAAATCTAAGTTACTCCATTATTGATCATTTCAGGGCTTGCAAATATATATTATAGTATGTGGTGGCAGTTTAACACATCTTTGTTTATTATTTAACTAAGGCAAGGATAAACCTCTTGGTACCATCTAACTAAAACACATGTTGATCAGATTAAATGCATTAAATGAAACCCTTAAATAATTTAACTCGTTTAGATAAAAAAACAAGAATATCACAGTTAAATCAACAAAATGAAACAAAAAATACATTGAGGAATATATATTTTATCTGACTTAGAAAAATTCCGAAAACTTATCATCGGGAAAAAAGACCAAAACCCAATAAATAACAACTTACGGCAAAGATGTTCCAAGAAATAACTTCATAAATACATGTAGAATTTTGAGTAGATTTAAACATTTTACATCTACATTATTTAACTTAAATGATCTACTCAAATTATATAAACTTTAGTTGCTCAACTACTTACTTTTGATGGAGTTTTGTTCTCTGAGCTGGATGGTTTGGTCGTGGAGCTTTCAACGTTCTTCTGAACGACATCATCAGCACAAACTTAATCTACTTAGTCTAGTTAGTTTACTTGTTATGATTAAACAATTTATTTATTAATTTTTTTTCTGGTAAATATTTCACTTTATTGATGTTTAGTAAACAGATAGAAGAAAAAGAGAAATCCAATTATCAACTTGAACAAAATGAGAAACGGTTACAAAATTTCATTACAAAAATGATTCATATATTTGATACATTTTTACAAAATGATGAACATTTAATTATTGATTGGAAAGATGAAAAAAATTTAGAAGATTTAATAATTAAAGTAAATGTTCTTTATTTATTTTGTTTTAATTTGTTAATTTGATTGTTATGAGGATTTATTGCCAACTTTACCATTTATATCGTATCTTATTTAAATTAGACAGTTACAAAATGTTTGATTCAACTAAGGAGATTTCTATTAGTGTATAAGACATTCATATTCATTGATTCAACTGGCTTTTCTAAATTGACATTTTATCAGATGAAAATATTTTGTACCGTAAACTGATAGTGTGTAAACAACCTAAATGTGATAGTTAACTCTGTTGGATAAGAGGTTTTGTGGCTGTGTCTGACCGGTGTAACAAAGATGTAATTAGGATTAACGGATGCGCTTTGATCCAATACTATTAGCTGTGTCAGAGGTAGTAGTAGTAGTCAGCTGTCAAATATTTTGGGTATGCTACATTTTGTCCATCAGAAATAGCCTTTCTCTCAATTTTCACTCACTTTTGTCATCCATATGCTCCTAGAGGTGCTGTACTTCATTAGGAATCAACTAAACGTTTAATAACTTGCGCCACACAAGTCGCCGGTGATACAGCTTTCTGTCTACCAAGAGACAGATATACTGTATGACACTTTACTGTGTACTCCCTCTTCGAATGTTTATTGCGCTTTTTATGGTTTAATGAAGTACATAGACTGCTAGTACGTGATCAAAGATACTCAATAGATATTCTCTGCATATTTAGAAACCATCGATTAATACTGTTTCTAGATGTACGGTTCTAGTTTAAGATGTTAGATAAGATGATGAGGAACATTTGTCGACTAAAGTGACTGAGGATTCACAAAGAGTACCAGTTATCGTTTCTTAAATCATTTTTAATTTCCGTCGCCTATCTTGTCAGAATATGTACAAAAAATCTTAAACAAACCCTATTTGTGAAGTATGTTTTTTACAACATACCTTTTTCACATCATCTTTGAACGTTGTAGACTGGTTAAAAATACTATCGGAAGCATACTACTATTAAGTTGCTTAAATATATTCTCTCAAACTTAACCTTTTTACTAACATTTTACTTTCGTTCTAACAGTTGTCTTAACATTCTTTAGTCTCGCTAATACTTGAATACCGTTATCATGAAAGACTAACACTGTCTGAAAGTTATTCAATATAAAGAAGAATGATCAAATCTATATGTAGCTCCAAGCAAATGTATTGCTTTAGACAGATTTTTTGTATTAGTTCTGGAATATCACAACTGAAATAGCACATTTTATTTGTAAAATTCAAAATATTATTAAAACGTCAATACTATTTAACTTTCGTACATTAATTTAGTTTATTTATTTCATTTAGCTGTATTCTCATTGTTTTAATCCATTTTCCTTTAACTAAATAGGCTAAAGATGTCGTTAATGAAAATTTAAAAAATAAAGGACATATTCAAGATTTATTAGATCGATTAAAACAACATGAAAATGAAAATGCTGATCACAAAAGTAGCATGAATCGTTTAGGTGAATTATTAACTAAAAATGATTGTTATGAACAAGAAAACAGAAAACTAAATCAGGTATTAATTTATCAATTTAAATAAAACGTTTTTTGTTATTACCGATAAATTATTATTATTATTATTATTACTGAAGTAATAATAATTCTATATCTTAACAAGTTTAATGAATTCAGTCGAAAAATTAATCAAATTTTTACTCTTGTAAAAGTATGCAGAATGCTTTCAATCAGAAGATTAACTTTTTACTACTTAAACGATTTCATTCATTTTGTGTTAACTGAATGGTAGACTAGTAACTTTTGATTTAAGACACTTAAGATATCCAAAATTCAGTTTTCCAGATTACTGATACATCTCGTTAACGAGTGCTGAATAGCACAAAAAAATAGGTGTAAGATTTTCTGACGACTGTAATATAAACACTTAATAGCTCAAATGATGTAGGTAATGTCGAGTTACTTTGACCAGTAACCATATTGTAACTTAACGGGTAGATCGGCATTAAGGGATTAAAAAACATGAAATTTTTAGTTTTTCACTACTCATTGACTAACCAACTGATCATATTTTTCTTCATTTAAATATAAATTTAACAGGAATTAGAAAATATTCGACGTAATGAAAAAGCTTTGGAAGAACGAATTCGTGTATTGACTAAAGAATTAATTGATTCTCAGTTACATATAAGAGAATTAGATAAACAGTTACAAGATACAATGAGTAAAAACGAGAAACTACATTGGAGTAATCAAAATAAATATGAAGAAGATAATTTATTATTTCGGTTTGTCAATCTTTTGTATATTAATAGTTACTGGCTTGTTTTAAAAAAGTACTTGATTGACTTTTGATGGAGTTTTGTTCTCTGAGCTTTTATTGATATTAACCTATCACTGAGATTTGATTAAATCATTTATTTTGAAGAAATATTAAATGTTCATTGTACAAAAAATAATGAATATTATGTACTGTAGTTATGTTGTTTTTTAGAACAAATCATCTGACATCGTGAAATGAACAATATCTACAGTTTTTTTAATCATAGACTGACATCAAGCTAGAGAATGGTTGGAAACCAGAATGTGATGAACATGTTTTAATCTTTATATTAAATTGCAATTTAATGGCAGTCAAAATTTTAGGTTTGTAAGATCATTCCCGTAAGACATTGATGTAATATCCTACTACTGAAAATGCCTCGAACTAGTACGAAACACTTACTTGTAGTATATCTAGCACCAATGAAGCGTGCGAAATTCTATGACTTAAAAAGTAATAAAGTGAAAATAGTTAATTGTCATTCGACTATTATCCTTATATATTTTCGTTTGAAACATCAATACTGCCATCCACTACAGCAAATAGCTGGCGCCTCTAATACACCATTAGATTTCTTGTCAATATAATGTCATATCTTAATTCTTTTAAATACTATGTAAAGTGAACAAACAATTTTTTTGTCTATTTGGGCTATCAGCAGCAGTATAGTGCAGGATGAGCATTTGGATGCACTCGTCTACGTGTTGATGTTCACTCAGGGACTCGGACCAAGTGTCTGTTGCTCAAAAATGTTTACAATCGGAAACTACAGACACTTATTTACCGTAAACAATATTTATAAATCGAAAATAATTGTATGCATAAACCTGAATTTATTATTTATATTACTTTTAAATCGATTCATCAGCATAGTATATGTAATCTTCATTTAGAAATTCATTGGCTTCATTGCTATCGTATAATAATTTCCAATGTAATCCAACTGAAATATCAATCAAAGAAAGTATTAGAAAGTTTATAAGTGAATTACAGGAACAAAAAGATGTAAGTTATTTGTATTAAGTGTTTGGTTTGATAAAAAAACCTAATTAATATTTTAAAAAATAACAACAATAATTTGATTATTAGTTATACATTGGGTAGATTCATATTGAACTTTTTTGATATTCAATAAAGTACGTTTTAAAGTGTATTTATTCATAGAAATGATTACTATAGTGTTGGATCCTTCAATAAGTCTTTATAATACAGGAAATGAATTATAAGAATGTTAGGTTGAATAAAGTTATTTCTAATTATTACAGATTACGAAAATTATATTCATACAGGAATTTATTATCTTCCTTTACATTTAAGATCAATAAGTCTGACTGTTCCAAGACCAGTAATTTCTTGAAATATTGTCAGATGTTTGGCTGGAAGTGTCACTTAACTTTCATATCATAAATAAAGAATTGTTATTTTCAAATAAAATATGTGCGAACACTTTATAGTTATAAATTATTAAGTAAAGTTCAACGAGCTGCATGTAGGGAGTCAACTATATCATACAGTAAACTAGAGTTGACCGGTTTAAAAGATAACCAAGCGGTCAGTATGGTTTTCAAGGTAGAATATCTGGTCTATTTTGTTTCTGCCATATTAGGTCACAGTGCAGTGTTTTCAGTTTGTCCGTGTTAAATAGTGAAAGTGAAGTTAAACCATTATCATAAGTTAAAATGGACTTATGATAAATGAACAAACTCAACTTCATCCTCATCACTGACTAATTTAGAAAATGTTCTTTAATGTGAAGCCAAATTTTCTTTACAACAACTTTTATGGTGTGGAAGAATATTTTACATAAATAGGTGTTCCCCTGGTTTACCTTAGATATCCCTGAGGATTTCTATGTAACATATAAAATAACAGATTTCCTCTTTATAGGTTTAATACCAATTGGCTAGCTAAATGTTTACCAGTACCTTTAATCAGGATAGTTTGAAACTACAAAAAGAGAATACAGTCGTAGAAAGTCATAAGTTTTCTGGGGAGTTACGAAAAATCCTCCCGATTTAACCCAATTGGTTGATGAAGCGGTGTTTGTAAGAAACGTCTACAACTAGTAAAATGGTTTAGTCAAAATGTCAATTTTACTTTAATGTGAGAATATATATGATACCGAGGTTCTCTCCGATACCGAATATTGTCTCAAGGCGAGTAAGTGGTTCAACATATGAAGCAAATTTGCACTGAAAGAGATCACCTAAAAAACATGAGTCGTACTAACTCTAGAAAGTACATATAATCAATAAAGCCATCATGGTTCATTCATATATGTATATAGGCCTGTATTCGATATGCATTCTTGAGACTAGTAACAAAGATCCACACTTCAGTTAGATCATTCAAATTTCAACTAAGTGGTATTATTCATAAGACAAGGTATTAAACGTATTTCATCAGAGAGGGAGCTTATCAAATTTACTCAATGCTTGAATGTTGTACGACGACTCATTACTAGTTTACAGATGAAACTGAGGTATAACAGTGAACTGACTTGCTTGCTTAGACAAATCCAAACGTTTATCTGTTTACATTTCAGGTAATTTTGATGAATGATAGATTTTCAGCGAGTTGTAAATACTATCATTTAATATTAGGACTTCTCGTACGATTTGTGCTTTCCTCCAAGTGATTAAAATGTTCATCAGTAGCTCAGACAAGGTCAAGATTGTATCCAAATTTTAGACGGGTGTATATTGGTTTTTCTTCCTTTGTAGGACTGCTTATACTAACTGAAAACAATATATGGGCTATGTTAAAATTTAGAAGGTTATACTTGGACGTGATAGAGACCTGTATACAGCGAATGAAATCATTCTAGAACGTTGGCTTCGATAGCTTCACCATGCTTAATTTTTGATATTCAAGCTGCTTTCATAGCAATTGTTGTTTATTAACACTAAAAATAGTCGTAAAAACAGTATGACGGTCAATTTCGAACATTTGACAATAGAATAATAATGTTAAATCATCAGTCAACCACAAATTTCTTTCATAATGACTATCTAACTCATAGGTTTGGCAATTCTACAAGTACTAGCCTAAATATGGAATTAGTGGCCATAATTTTGAGTTTACTTTTACCTTCCGAATTAAAAATAAATTATGCTTTGTTTAAAATGAGATATCCCTCGATGATGCTTTTTACCTGAGCTATTTATATTATTAGTATTTGACTTTCTCCATTACAACACTGTTTTCCATTTGTACGGCTCATTTCGTGATAACTCATCATACTAAGTCTGTTACTTTTAAACAACTCTGATGACTAACTAGTTGGTTTAATTTATGATTAATTACTTTTATCCCTTATCTAGTTGTATTCAAGACTTGAAATTCGTTTATCAGACACATTAAGACGTTTAGATCATTCACAAGCTTCTAAACACGAAGTGGAACGTATGTTAGAGAAAACGGAACGGGAATGTTTTGATCTGCGTGAACAGGTTAGACGTCTAGAAACAGATTTGATAAATTCTGATTTGGTGAAGCAAGAACAACGCTCAGATAAATTAAAAGTAAGTATCTATGTATAACACTGATACGTTGTAGAAAAAAACAAATGTTGATTATTTTTTCCGCTACTTACGAGTAATAAGTAATACTTACTAAGTAAAACCAGTTGGTGACATCAAATGATTCGTACGCAAAATAATGCTTTCCAACTTGAAAATTTTTTAAAACTTATATCAAAAATTAATATTAGTTATAGAACTAATTCTTGACAATGTTCTAGTTTTGTCAAAAGCTTTTGGTTGATGTATTCTCTGTTATACTCCTAGGTTTGATGAGTAACTTAAGTCTAGTGCTTTTTAGTCTGAAAAGAAAGCTGCTAGTTTGTTACGGTTCCAACAGATATCACAATCTGGTTTGCTTTTTCATAAGCGTTTAATTGATATAAGTAGTTCAGTCAATTTATTTAGCTTAGAAATTCACGTAAAACAATAATCAGTCACTTAATGAGTAAAGATAAGTGTATGCATATTGGTGTTTTGAATAATTAAGGCAGCTGAAAGTGTTTTGTATGTATAATCACCACTTTTGTCAGTCTGTTATGTTTAGTAGTATAGCAACGGGTTGAAAAATAAACAAGAGAGGGTCAGCCAAAAAAGTTCTGTCTGTCCATGGATCTACTGAACAATGAAGTTAACCTTGACGTGGTATAGTCTCGGCTCACAAGATTACCGGGATTTAAGGTGTAAGACCTCATGTCATATGGCTCAAAATCAGTCACAGTGGTATGGATGCATCCAGTTTTTTAATCTTCCGTTAAATTTTGTACTTCAGTGACATTTTTTTCATTCAATAGTATACTATCACATTTTGACTTGAAAATTTAAAATAAATTGTAAATTTAATGGATTCCAATAAGTTAGATTCAAACACTACTGTATATTTTATTTGGTCGGTTTGATCATGTCAAATTATCTACTACCATTGGCACAGTTTTTTGAGCCTCTTTGCACTCCATTGAGTTAATTATCACTCACTTTACTGATGGGAGTTGTGGGAGCCCGAGTAATTGAACATGTATTTTAGGTTCTAAAAGGAGAGAGTGCATTGAGACTCTAATATGTTTTATTTATAGAAATGTTTTAGTTACAAAAGTATAAGTAGAAATGTTCAGTTTTTTCACATTTTCCTTTGGTTACTACTTTTGTGCACCACACTATACATTAGTCAATACTATATTCGATCAATTTTAGAACCTGTGAAGAATGTTGTTCACCTACCACAATTAACTGCCGTTACTAAATAAATATACTTTTATTTTACATTTTCACCCGTTTTCGTATTTTTAATATCATTTACACTTTTACTACATGTATTACTTACTGAGATTGGTTTGTTCTGAAAAAATTGTTTATTTTGAACTCTAATGCTTGATTCATTTTCACTAGTTGTTACTGCTTTTTTGTCAAATCTCTGATATAAATATATATTAATTAATAGTATTATTTACAGTTAAGTTATTGCGTGAATATTTGATGTACCCATTTACTTTCTGACTTTGTCCTGGAAGGCGTAATCTTAGCCTGCGAATCTCACTGTTCAAATATCGTAAACATCATTCATATGCTCTTTAACAGTTAATGTCTTGAGAACTGGAGTTACTGTTAGGAATATTAATGAAACATGATTATCTGTGCTGTGTTTTGAATAATAGAAAAGAGATACTCATTTATTTTGAAGAAAAATTAACCATAGAACAGTTTATTATAATTTGGTTAAATGAAAGCAAGATCTTTCACTGTATAACACTTGGGAGTTTATTATACACGGTATCTTCTTTTTTTTGTAATTGAATTAACTTTGTCTAGCATGCGAAATTTTTAATGTTCTGATCAATAATATGACATTTTTATCCTTATGTGTTGACAGATTTTCTCGTATCTCTGTAAACTTGCAGCAAAAGTGAGAATAGATGAAAAAGTTGCTTCAGGAATGCGATTTGACGAATTACAAGAAGTTCTTTTGAGTGAGTTAATTGTTAATAAAATTATAATGAAATAGATGTTTCTTAAGAATTTTAAAATTATCTCAATATATAGTGTTAATAATGTTGAAACAAACTACTAAGTTTTTGCAAGTACTTTGAAGAAATTTCTTTATAGACATTTCATTCTAATTATTATCAGTGCAAAAAGTTTATTAAGAGTTTTTAAGCAATTCATACTCTTAATAAAAGTAAAAATCTATCTATTATACGTTTGTGTTGTATATCATAAGCGAGAATGTATTAACTATTATGTTTTTTTATTATATATAGAACTTAATATGTTTTGAAATAGTCTGTATGCAAATTGCACATTAAATCAGCAGTATGCATTTATAAATATATGGTTTTCTGTGGGTTGCAACGGGTTGGTTATCCTATAAGTTTACTCAAAAGTTGTTTAAAGTACCCAAAATCTTTTTTTATTTTATTTTGGAGCCAAGAAATTTACTCTTAATTTGTTGAACAGCAGGTTATGCAATCATCCTTTATTTTTACATATTTTAATGAAATACAGAATAGCAATATCAATAATTATCGAATTGAATGAAACATGGAAATCGTTAGTTTACAACATTTAAACTCTTCTGAATGGTTGGAATATAACCTTGAATAACGGAACTGTAAAAGATCAAAACGGTTATGAATTGGAAAAATAGTATGCTGTAACATTTTTGTATCAAAGAATTGGTTCATAAACCACAGTAAGAATATGAACAAAGAAAGACAAATAAAAAACATCAACTGTTTTAATTTTGGACATCATTCACAGTGGAATACAGATAATTACTGGTATAAGCACTCAAAATTATACTATTTTTTACCCTTTACTCTAATGTAAATGTACATTCCTTACTAATATCAGTTTATGAGGAATAATACTTTGTGAATAAGCAAGCGTTTAAAACACCTTCAACTACTGATAATGGTTGTTTTTTTTTTCAAAAGTTGATCAATAATTTCTTGATAGTCTACTAAAGAGATGTTCAGTAAATCATTTTCATTGGTTTTTAATGTTTTGTATACAGCAAGAATCGGACAAATAATTAGTGGTGAATACACTATGCTAAGTGACGTTCAAGCTAACGCTGATCGTATAAATGGTTTAAATCGTAAAGTGAAAAGATTACAAGATCAACTAGCAAGTAGAGAAATACAATTAGGTTTGTGGAAAGAGAAAGCTAGTAAATTAGAAGATCAATTGTCCGGTATAAATGAAACTGAAATGAAAGCTCATGCAAATAAAATTGCAGCGGAGAAATCAGCTATCAATGCTAGACGATCAGAATTAGAAGTGTCAAGATTAAAAGATGAGTTAACTCGTTTAAAAGCGGAACTATTAGATTTTAGTGACGCTAAAGTAAGTAGTTAATTGAAAATAATATTTTGTTATTGATTTTGTTGTTTGTCACTATTAATGCATTAATGAATTCACTCTAATATAATGTACATTTCTAATATGATCTGTATCAATTAATTGAGTGTATTTGTAAACTTCCGCTATTTCTCATACGAGCTTGTTGATAACCGTTTTGCATTAATTGTTAATGTCTAGCAGGCTAACTGTAGCTTCCTTGTGAAGAATTATTTTGTCGCTCGGTAGGAGTTTGCTTCCTTTGGCTTTTATGATTAATCTCTTCAGCAATCTAGAGATTTGTTTTTGAAAACTAGTTATATTGAAGTGAACAAGAACACGAGTGGAGATAACCGAATGTATTTGAGCACGAAATTACAAAACATTTCACTAAAATCTGAAAACCACACAGTGAATAGATAATTCGCAAAATATCAATCAATTGTCTCAAACTTGACTGTTCCTTTAGCAAATCTCAGCCTATCGTCTCAGATTTCATTGTTCATGCATTCTCATACAAATTGCTCTCCATTCCCGCTCTTTCCCTCTCGATCTTCTACTGAAATACATTCTATGTTTGACCATCGTTATGTATTACTTATGTGGATATAAGTAGCTCACACCACAGTATTACTTCGCATATTCATTCATACGTCAATCCTGTATAATAGTGTAAGTAAAGAGTTTTTAGCTTGTTTCCTTAAAATAACATTTCTTTGACATTTTGTTTAATGTCACTGTTAATTATTGAGTGATGAAATGGGGATTTAAAATCAAATACTGAAAACAAAATACAGTGTTAGCTACTTCAGTTCTAAATTTATGCCATACATTACGTACATACAAGTCATATCAAATAATCTTTTTTAAGAAATTTAAAAGAAATTTTCGGTATTTAAATCTTCATGATGAACATCAGTTCTAAAAGTATACATATATGTAATGTCTCAATGTTTTATTAGATATATAGTGAATAATCCACGTGGTTACTTCAGTGACCGATTTTCACTTCATTTTTAGTTGTTCCAAGTTCAAAAACTCGTTTAAATTAACACTGACTAAACTAAAATTATATAACTTATGATCAATAGTTGAAATTCATAAAATGTATATATATGTAGTTCATACCAATCTATTTCTATATGTATATTTTAAAAGCTTTCTGTTTTCTTGACATTTAAGTCTAATTTCCCAATATGTTGTAATGATAAACTATCTCATCCTGTCATCATTATATACCATTTGCAATTTGCTGAAATATGTTTTTCGAATTAACAGTGAAATTGTAATAGCAGATTCTCCTCTAGTTTATCAACTAGATTTTGCCTAATTCAATATTTTTTGATACTGTCAAAGTCATCTCTAATCAGAAAATCAGCTTACAGTAAATGTATTCCCCATTTGATCGATACAAGTAAACTGGTTATGGAAAATAAAATTGTATTGACAGTCGTGATAAATGAGGATATAAATGGTAACAGTTTACCTACTTTTATAAGTGTGTACACTTACGGTACCTGCGGTGAAGGAGAACACAGGTGAGAACAACTTAATAGAAATAGAAAGACTATACTCTAATACTTTATTTGCTAAATGTCCGTTAATTGTCACAGACTTCATTGTTCCTGCATTTCCATACCAATTGCTTTCTATTCCCGTTCTTCTCTTCTTAGTCTTCTCAATCTTCTGCTGCCAGACATTATATTCCTGACTCACATTACATACTACTTGTGTCAATATAAGTAGCACACACCACAGTATCCAGCATAATTTTATCTATTACTTTTAGTGGTATTGGTTAATAGAATATGGATGGCATGTTGAATGCTTTTGTTAGATAAATTTTAAAGATTTTTAAGTTAATTATTGTTCTCTTTATTTCTAAAATGTTTATTTAGAAAGAACAAATATGTTTGTCTATTGTCCTACAAATCTTTAAGTTTTCTTTTAAATTCATGTTAATATAAGTAAAATTAAAAAATGAATTATCAAGATTTAGAAACAAACAACGCTCTTTTTAAATATTTACTTTTCCATCTCCAAATTACATTGATCTAGATTAGTGTAGTTAAATGTGAAGAACAACTGGCCGAGCTAACTAAACAAAACAGAGAACTGGAAAGTATACGTCAAAGTCAAGCAAATAAAATTGCTGAGTTAACAGAAAAAATGGAATTGCAAACAAATGAGGATAGTGATAACCGTAGTCGATTAGAAGAAGAATGTAAATGTTTAATGAATGAATTACAATCAACTAGAAAGTCAATGGAACAACTTCAACGTTCTGAAAGAGAGGTATACCGAGATTTTCAATTTTATGTACTTTTCTTACTTCAATTTTTAGAAAACTTTATAAAATAAGTGCAGCTATTTTTTTATGTAAAAGTTATTATTTTAAGCGGGAATTCGGCTTTCACCATGAATTAAATTTTGTTTGAGAGAAAGATTGTAGACTAGAGAGTGCAAGTAATTTAACTCATTTAAAAATTACAAGTCTTTGTCCCCATTTTTGAGTCAAATATTTTATTAGAAAACTAATAATACTGATCAGCTATCCAGATCAAAGTGGGTCAAGGTTTCAACTTAAAAACTAGTGGTTGATAGTTCAATGTTTTAACCTCTAAGTTACTATTTGACCAGTAAATGGTCGAAAAAACCTCAGAAGCCAGGAAAACTTAGTTATTTAATCACTCTTAAACTATTATGAAATAATTAGATGATTGTCATTGTTTAGTCTGAATGAATTCATGATAAAGGGTGAATAACGTTAGACTCACCAATCTATATTTCGTTGATCTGTCCAGGTAACCATAGTTCGGTAGTAATTATTTAGCAGATCAAACATTTAAACGGCGACTTGTAACTAAACTTAATTAAATTATTTATTAAATAGAATTCCAGATTCTGTGTATCCAATTTTAAGTTATTCGAATAGTAAAAACAAATCAAATTTGTCTCATATTCATGTTCGGGCTGAAAATTTGAGTAATTTACTTAAATTTGTGACTATGTTTTTGCATATAGTGATTTAGTTTTGCCTAAGATTTGAAATATTATATGCAGCATTATTGATTTGGAACGTCTCGAGCATATGAAGAACATATTAAAGTCATTTGTGTCAAATACACTTCATTTGCATATACTTTTCAACAATCAAGTCATATAACTATGGAAGACAATTTTAAAAAGATTGTATTAAGTTTTTTAATAATGTGAAAGGAAATTTTTTAGAAACTAAACACTATTACTAAATAATTGCCAAGTATCAGTATCATCCATGGAACCAAACTCATTTTTAATACCGTTGAGTGGGTTTTCAAATAAATATTTTTTTAGGTAAAACTTCTACTTACCTCATCAATCGATATTGTTATCATGGTTCATAACCTCTGTAGGACTATGACTATCATAAATTGAGTTCAAATAATTTATAATCTGTGATGATATGAACAACGAACTTTTCAATCCTTGTGGATTTGTGAACCATATAGATTCAAATCAGTAAATATTCACGAATTTACTTAAGGTCTCAGTTTATTTTAACTAATACATTCAATAAACAGCAAATTTTATTTCATAGCTTTTCATCAGATTAGGCAACACATATGACATTGAATTTTCAGGATCTTTTTCGTATTATGAATAATCAGTTTGAAAAAAAGTCATAACATAAAACAGTTATCTTCTTAAAAGTCTAAAAATGATTATCAGTAGCTAATGTACTTTTGAAATGGAGGCTGAAAAAACTCTGCGAAATAAATGTTATGCTCCCAAACTGTTTGTTACTGAGATGACTAAGGCCATGGTTCCATATAAACTCAAAAATTATATCCTAGCCTACTTACCAGTTCACATGTGTACGTGGACATATATATATAGGAATGAGTAATCGTACTATGTCACCGAGGTTAGTGGGAGATTTCCATAAATAACTTTTAAATCATTTAGCATCACTTGCTTATAAAGACTCCAAGATTCGAAAGCCAAGCTTCTCGAAAGTAAAATATATTATTGAAACAAGTATGTGTGATCAGTTAATACTTTATTTATAATTCGTTGAGGTAACATATCACGATGTACGATCAACTTCGTGCTCTCTTTATATTTTCAAAATATTATGTTTTGTTGATACTAGCTTCTGGAATTCAGAGCACTTGTTGGTCGTCTTCTTGGTTTAGATACAGAATTATTAACAGTACCTAATTATGATATTATCAGTCGTTTAGAAACAATAATTACACATAATCAATTTATTCATGATAATTCCATGTTGTCACATATGAACGATGCACATTCACCGAATAGAAAATCAAGTTCATTGACTAAAGATACAGGCTTACAACGAAATACAACGGCAGATTGTTACATGGCCGGACCACATACAGCTAAAACAAGATCTAAACAAGGTAAGATACTGTTTGTGTTTTATCTTGCATTCATGTCTAAACATATACATATATCTGTTATAGTATATTTCTTTTGGTCACTAGAGAAATTTTTATGTTTACTAATTCATAAATCAGTGTAATGAGGAATTAATTTCAGTATTGGGTATAATATAGGGTGAAGCCTCTCAGTTAGTTCGGTTTTAATGTACAAGTGGACTGTTGTTATAACAGAACAATTGACTGGAGAACCTAGATAACCATCTCAATCACCTTTTTTTACGAAACCGATCATTAAATCCCAATTAAATAAATTTCAGAGGTCAGAACTAGTAGTTAAATGACTGAATATATACCACAGTTTATATCATAAAATGCTCAGTCGAGAATGTCTGATTTATCGGACGACGTATACAGATGACTGATCAAGATAAAAGCCACAAAATAAAATATTATCTGTCATTCCCACCCATTTTATTGATCATACTTATGCGATGGGTCTGAATAACTGTGCAAGCCTAGTTCAATCGACTAGATCATTTCGATAGAGAACAACAAGAAAAATTGTAAACCGAACACTCATTAGGCATGTAGACCATACTGAAATATCACAACAACAAAAAGTTATTGATAATAACTATCTGTCTATTCACGAATGTAATATATTTCAGGCAAGAAAATACGATAATCTAAGACTTAAGATAAGTTAAAATGGCAGAGTACTATCATTCAACATTATCAGTAAGTTATTATTAAAAATTTGCAGATTTTCAGCATTACAAACTCTTACAATCGTAAGAAGCTCAGTAAAGAAATAAATTACTCTAGAGTGATCTAAACAAGTTTATTTTGGTGTTATACTTAATTAAAAACATTGTAAGTGATTTATATCAAACCGTCTATTGCAATTCTAAAATACAGAAATTTTACGACTTCTGTAATCTTATATCATATCACATAAAATATTTTGATCTTATTAGTATGATCCCTAAGTACATTTATTAACCAAGCGTTTTTTATTGATTGAATAGTAAAAGGTTTTTAGATAGTCCTTCAAGTTGTGAAAGAATCTTAGAGTTTTTGTAATCTTAAATCCTTTAGATTTTCAATATCTCTTCCCAAAATAATTGTTACTTCTGAAGTTTAATGAAGGTTCTCTGAAATATCAAAAAGTAGAAAATAAAATATTAACAAAAACACTATAATAAATTTGAATAGAAATTAGGAAATTAGGCATAGATAGTGGATAACAATCAAATCGAGCTCAAATGGTCAGTTACTGATTTGCACTTAAATGAATAAAGACATTATAATGTAGACTTATTTATTTTGGTACATACATTTTTCATGGCAGATATTGATAATTTGATCTAACAAACAGAAAATTTATAAAATCCTGTCTTGTGTGTAACTTTTACAGTTTTCTATTGATTCGATCGAGACAATCGTCACTTATCTAACTAGTAACAAATCATATACCCGAATGAAACTAAAGCAATTTTGTTCACTATTATGTAGTTATCGTCAATAGATTTCTGTTTTTTTTCTTTAAACACGTTTAACTGACCATTGATTTGAATGAATTTGATTCTGATTGAACATAATACATGTCAACTTAGTTGTTAGGGAAATTCGAAGGATGAACAATATCAAACTTAGAAAGTTAAATTTTTGGGTAAATTTGTTTGCATATTATTTAAAATTAGTGTTTATTATAGTACTATTTAATAATATTTCCACTTAATCATTCTTTTAACTATCAAGGTAATATGATATTATTCATTTGTTTTTAATACCTAGTATTGGTTTTGTCTTTTTTTTCATGCATACTAACATATTTTTGTAATAAAAATAAGTTTAATTATCCTTTTCCCGTTTTTTATTTGATAAAGTCATATTTTTTCATTTATTTGTTTATCAGTATAGAATAATATTCGTTCATTGAGAAAAGCCAAGTAAATTAAGATCTATGAATATAGATATTTTTATATAAGTTCAAGATACTTCATGTACAGTAATTAGATTAATTTATTTCGATCAGTTAAAAATCTAGTAGAATGAATGTTGATGAAAAGAATCCGCTCTTTAAAATGTGGAACACTATGTAGACTGTACAAGGCATATAATGTAGATAAAAATGATTACATTTTCTTTCTTTGAAACATAAACTAAGTGACTTTAATCAGTTGATAATATTACGCAGTCATCGTCTATTGTCTGTGGTAGATAACTATTTCACAATCTGACATGATTGGACTCTAGTGGTTACGACTTCTGTAATCTCTATAAACCTTCATATATTAATAATAATCATGTGCTCACCAGTGTTCAGCTTTAGGATGCAATTCTTGCAGTTCTAGTGTGAAGTTGTGATCAGTGGAGTTTAACTAAGTCAAGTGTGAGGCAGTTATTAACCATAGGCAAAGGAAGACGGTTGTAGAACATCGTGAATTGAAGTTGGACTTGTATACAATTGGATCCTGGTTCAGTGGTCTTAGGGTTAAGCGTTCATGCGCGATTTCAAAAATCACGGTTTTGATTTCCGGATATGTATTCCTAGATATCCACTTCTGAAGAGTTGGATAAATGTTTGGCAATTTCAAGAATCAAACCATGTGAAAATTTTATTCCAAGATGTTACTTTAACTTTATGCTATTGTACGTATAACAATTCATAAGGGGTCTTAGTTGGATCATTAAGAATAATTATTGGTATACAATATACTTGAATTACAAAACTAGAGGACATGTCTTCCATTCGTTTGTTTCTTCAGTATTTCTTGTTCAATGATTGTTCTTTTAACTTATAAACATTGCTTCTTTTTTTCCCTTAAGCTTGGACTAATACTTGTGAAGATTGTTCAAAATCATGTAATCGTTCAGTGAGAGATTCATTAGAAAAGTACAGGGAAAAATGTCATCCATCTGAATCAATAAAACACGATCCAAGAAAGTATTAGTTATGTTGTTATTTACTTAAAAGCACTTACATACCAAGTTATTTTTGATTTAAAAATGTTTATTTGCAAAAATACAAAGATAACTACAATTTTACCAATTGTTCATAGAATAATGTTTTTATCTATCGGTTGTTCTAAGTACCTTTTTCTCTTATTCTTTAAATTAACATTACCAAATGAACTTTTAATTAGATTATACAAATAAACATACATTTTGTGAGACAGTCTCTCGAGATTTCTTTTAATAATGAATTTACTCTTATTATGTTTATTAATACTATTATTCATTTTATCATAGCTGTACTGACGTTACAATTTTACTCTAACTACATAATCGAATATTAATTCGACAGTGAATATAAAACAATGTGATACTCCTCGATCGAACTAATACTACGTCCCTAATAACTGTTGACCCAATTCACAAACTATTCCGAAGACAAAAATTTTCAATATTAATGTCTCAAATCAATATACCATAGTGGATCAGCTCGCAAAGTTCCTTAAAGTTCATTTATTTTCTAGCTTACGTGAACTGATGTTATAGACCAGCTTGATTGCTACTAATGACAGCTGCCAATCGTATGTATATATCGTGTTTGAGTGTTCGCTGCGTGTGATTATCATGACTTTGATATAGTCAGTCAGATTATTACTGACAAGCACCATTCGTCACTTTAAAAATGAACATTGTTATTCATTTTTTCAATCAGAAGCTATATATGATAATAAATTCTTTTGAAAGTATGACTACAGTTGTATTTCTTTGATAAATAAAGTCCAGAAACTTTAGTAGATCCTTGTACATTTCCGGATAATCGGTTTGTTAATGAGTGATTAAGTACTGAATTATGAACTTTAATATAAAGTTGTGAGCCATTATATTCTTATACTCAGAGACAGAAGGCAAATTTATTCCATGGATTTATCAGTTTTGCCATGGGTCGATCTAGGATAGATAACACCAATTACTGTGTTTGAAATCTGTCAATTAGTTCCTCATAGGTTAAAGTTTGACAAGAACATTCGAATTTCTGTCGCAGTATATGTGATCATCTACCTATGCAGCTGAAGTGCTTCGCATCAGAAAGTGCCAAATATGTGATGGTTTATTTTTTACAATGTTTCTCTTTCAATCTTCATTTCATGATAGAAATAATCTTGGAAAACACATCAGTAGTGTATAAAGCTATTTAAATTTATACTCCACAATAAATAAACACTGAAATGGGATTAAAAAAACTGAAATCATCGGTGAAGATTGACTTCCAAAAACACATGGATGAGAATCCATGATCTCTGTTTTATATAAAGGTAACAATTGAGTTCCTTAAGCTTATAAGATACGTTGAATGTCGAATGATGGGAAAGAAGTGGTGTTACAAAAAAATAAGAGTCAATAAGATTTTCTTCTATAGAAATGTATGAAGATTTTTAAATCTTTATGCTATTAATTAGTTTTAGACACTAGAATGATAATCTTGACATTAATGCACAGATTACCAAGTCTAAAAATTCTCATGAAGATACAGAAAGTTATTTAAAAGACGTAAACCATCAAAATTGCAAACAATAATCTATATAGACATTTAACATGTTTAAACTAACAAATATCAACTAGTTACAAAAATGTCTAGTAATATCCACTTGGCATTCTCAATAAATTACTTTGTTATGTAAGCATAATCAATTTTATCTAGATTATGGTTGAATAATTAAGGTTAGTGGTAATAATAATGAAGAATTATCGTGATGTTTTTTTGTTTTATTTAACAAAAACATACAAATGAACATAAACGACATGTGTATAGATTATTATCATTTTAAGTTTCAGTCATTAATTTAAATATTTTTCACTGGTTGAAATCATGAGTCAATTGAGGCTAAACCACCATGGAAAACCTGGAAGCACTGGACGGCCATTTCGTCCTAGTATGGGACTACTCAACAGTGCTCATCCACGATTCCGCACCCCGCGAGATTCGAACCCAGGGCCTATCAGTCTCGCGTCAGGCTCTTAACCAACTAGACCACTGAACCGGCATCCAACAGTGGTAATGTCTAACTTCAACCAATCCACGAAGTTGCGCCACCGTATACCATTGACTTCAAGAGATTATCCTGGAGTTCTGGTGAGAGGCCGTTACCAGTGGAGTTCAACCAGGTCTGTTGTGAGATATCAACTCACTGAAGACAATGGTGTACGTTGGCGCAATTTCGTGGATTGGTTGAAGTTAGATATTACCACTGTTGGATGCCGGTTCAGTGGTCTAGTTGGTTAAGAGCCTGACGCGAGACTGATAGGCCCTGGGTTCGAATCTCGCGGGGTGCGGAATCGTGGATGAGCACTGTTGAGTAGTCCCATACTAGGACGAAATGGCCGTCCAGTGCTTCCAGGTTTCCCATGGTGGTTTAGCCTCAATTGACTCATGATTTCAACCAGTGAAATGTCTAAAATCTCCACAAAACCCATTGTTAAATATTTTAAAAAAACATCAATTTGACCTAACCTAAGTTTGTTAGTTCAATATTTTCAATATTTTTATATCTAATAAAATGTTTAAAATTATTGGAATATATTAAATAAATATACTTGTTTAATGATTACTTAAATTGAAAGAAAATTATCTTTTATTTAGTTATTTTTATTTCAAAAATGTAATTCAAATGCAACATGAATTACTATTACAACTTAATTAAAAACACTTTTTCATATTTTAAGTCGATTAATTCTTATGAAAACGGCATACTATACATACATTATATATGTATATTTCTAATATTTTAATCGGGGAGAAAATATTGAGAGACGTTATACAACTTTAAAGACTTAATTCATACAGTTTTAAGTCAATAATTACTTTCTTTGTGATTAGTGAAATTCAAAGAGGATAAGAATAAAGATGGATATCATCAATATCCGTGGATTTTGGTTTTACAATAGCATGAAACGACGTAAGTTGGAAATTTGGATTATTATATTGATTGGATTGTAATATCTAAGAGGGGGCTATTTGATCCTCAGCGGGATAGTTAGTGTGAATCGCTTAAAAAATTTTCATACTAGAATAGACAACTGATTGGTTTTTGTTGGTTATCCAAATATAATCACTCCTTGAATGTAAACATTATACAAATTGATTGGTCGATACAACTCTTAACTTAATAATGATCACGTACTTCGCATCAATCTACTTCCTAAAGCGTTCTCAATATTCTGTTGGTACGAAACCGTGACTGTATAATCCAAACAGATTGAAAGTGAAATAAATATGTTTTGGACTGCTATGCAAAAGAAAGGGAACTATTTGGCTTACGAGAATCGAAATCAAAGTCATCGAATGACATTTGAACGACAATACGAAATAATTAAATCTCAAAAAGAACACAAACCAGCAAGTTGAATCATAACCACTAAATAGAAATTTGTTTATATGGAAAATATAAAAAAAGTCTTTAGTTGATGAAAAAAGAATGTTACAATGAACAAATTAGACTTTTTATGACAAATTTACCTTTAAATGATGTACAAAAATGAATTTTAGAAATACAATTAGTTAGTTAATATTTAGATTTGATGACAAAAAGATTTACATAAAACAATTTCAGTACTTTTATAATATGAATAGAAAAAAAAGTAACTAAGACATATAAATCACGTATAAAGGGAGGTAATATGAAGATATTTGACCATATTTTATAAAGCAAGCCATCAATAAATCCCTAAATTGAAATCAATTACATAATTCTTAATTATGTTCAATTGTTCTTTATTTAATATTCATGATTAAACGAGAAGAAAAATTCCCATACAGACATTATATTTAAATCTACAGTTTGATAACTGTATTTAATTTATAAATGAATAGGATAAAAGCAAATAACGAATTGAATTGTATAAAACAATAGAAAACTGATACTTAATTGATATTCACACAGTACTATTACTACTACTAATAATAATAATAACTATTATCATTGGTTTCGTTCAAATCAACTATGATACATGTTTCATAATTGTCATCAACTGGATGAAATTGTATTCTAGAATTTTTTTGTTTCTGTAAAAAATATTACAAAATTAATCTGAAATAGTTTATTACATTTTATTTTCAATAATTCAAATTCAATGCACTTTTGGTAATCATCAAGTATAAACGAGAAAAAAAAGTGAAAATGAGAAGTATAAGATGAAGGAAGTGTAAATTGTGTAACCATATTTTATACATAGTGACATCAAAACAACAACAAAAATAACAATATATTTTTGTTTATGTATAAACAATTGTTTATTGTAACCATATTTGACAAATTTAAAGAAGAATTACTCCAATTTTGTTAAATACAAACAAATAAGAAATTTATTAACATTGAATATCGAACCTTTTCTTATAAAAAAAACAAAAGATATATTTCAAACGTCATGTTTTTCTATATAATAAGTAATAATGATCATAATCATAAAAGCGAGAAGGCAATGAATAAAAAGAAATTTGATATTTTTGTAGTTTATTATAATGAAATACATTTCCAAGGTATAAATCATAATTTACATTTTGTTTTAAAAAATAAACTCTTACACTTATATTAATATACACATATGACAATGTTTGCTGCAATATTTAAACAGGACACATTAAATTACATGTATTCGCGTTCTTTGGTTACATAATATTATGTTTAAATCTAGATAAGTTTAAGCATAGATAAAATGAAGTACAATTAAATTTTCCAGGAATAACAGTGAAAGAACCAAAAAAAATAGAAATTAAACTATTTTTCTTAAATGCTGAACATACTGTACATGTAAAAACTAAAAGCAGAATATATATATATATATATATATATATATATATATGTCACAAGGCTATTAAGAATACAGAAGACGAATAACACTGTTTGATTCTATTGTTCCTATTTTTTTAATATTGATCTTATCAAATTTTTCTCGGTTCAATAAATATTGGATTAATACTGTTTCCATTACTATTAATATTGTTATTATTATGTGGATAATGTTGAAGTTGGTTATCATAGATTTGTTTTCTGTGAAAGAAACCACATCTCCACATTGTAAATATTAATAATGCTAATAATGCTAAACCTAATACACTGCCAAGTATAAATGGCCATAATGGAATTTCACGAAATAATGATACATTAATACCTTCAAAAACAAAATTCTGTGATATAGCTAATGGTTGTATAGTTAAATTACTGTCAATTTTTATACCAAAAGCAGTTTCTTCAAGTTTAGCATTCGCTTCACTGACAATTGCAAAGTCAGATATTTTATAACGAAAAAATGTATCAGCCCATATCCAACCTCGTAAAACAATACGTACAGCATCACCACGTGATAATCCATTCACACGACATGTTATCTAAAATATAGAAATATGAATAATTAATAAAGATTATTGTTTAGATTATCTACTCAGTTGATTTACTTTTAGTGTGTGTGTCACTTTGTACCAAAAACGTTTACATAATAATGAGCACAATAAGACAAGCAATGTTTAACAAATATAGTTTACCATGAAATTCATATTGTTAACAGATTATTGTAAAATAACAAAAAATCTTTGCATTTCGAAAAAATTAAAACTAAAGTATTACAAATAAAGCATTTCGCAATTTCATTGCGAGTCCGAAATACGCAACTGATTGAACACTGAATAGTAATCAATATCATGTTCATCTAATCACTTAGTGTTAATCGAATTTCATCGATCAAGCTGTAGTATAGTAACTAGTCCAAGTGACTTAACATGGCGAGTACTATATGAAGATGTTATGTGCTAGGAAGAAGTTGGCAGTTAACTATGAACCTATGTCTCGTGCTTGTTAAGACTGATCAGATTGCGAAACTAAGCTACAGAGGTTTGAATTTACTAGAAAGCACAAGCACCTTATAAGATTACATGTTTGCATTGCTGACAAGTGAATAGTCTCCTGTTACCTACCTCCAACTACATAACATCACAATATAGTGCACACAATGTCGAGTTACATATTTTTGATATTATATTAACATTTTACAAAAAACGTGACTCATCGGTGTAGGTATACATCATTTCTTTGTTTATTTTATTTTTGGGATGGCAAATAATACCGGTAACTATGGAAAAAACAAACTGAGTTTAAAATGTCATGTTAAGCACTATTTTTGGTGAATATGAATTTTCCTTTACTTAGATTTTTAATCAGACAACTACAGTAAGGTAAATTAATCAATAAAAACGTTTTCTTTATAGGTTTACCCGCTAAAATCAGAAATTTTTATACAAAGAAGTGATTAAGAGCGTTTCAAATAACTATAGAATCCATCATAAAATAACAACGTATAAGTTATTCTGCACTTTTGTTCGGAATAAAGTTATTAGTGTTAATAGTTAGAAGATTCTTTTAGCTACTTCTATTCAAATCTACTGATAATTATACCATTTGAAGATAAACGAATTTTCCTTAGATATGTTTTTGGAAAATTTTGTTTTTTTCAATGGTAATTGATCTATGTAGAGTATATTTTTAACATTTAACATCTGTTAAATAAGATGTGGCTGCATTAAAACCTGTTAATAAATATGTAATATGTCTATTTGAGCTGAAATTTATAGCACGGTTATTGTGATTCCTAATCCCTAGAGATGAAAATTTCCTAAGTGAGATTGAAAAGATTTAAAAACAAGCGATTGGTTAACTTGTTTTGAAAATGTGTACTCATGTGTTAAGGACGACTGTTATAATTGGAACGCTATCAGATTGAACGTACTCAAGAATACGATATCAGTGTCCTTGACAGCGTTCGAAACAATATAGTATCAATATAGTAAACGAGAACACAAGTGGGGATAATCAGATGTATTTGAATCATCTTAGTAAAATCTGAGAACCATAGAGTAAATACTTCATTTGCGAAATATCAGTCAGTCGTCCTAGACTTCATTGTTCTTTCGTTCCCATACCAATCATTCTTTGTTTTCGTTCTCTTTCCTTTGATCTTCTTAACCTTCTGCCTCCAGGCATTTCACTTCCGATTGATGATATATACAACTTATATCTGTTGACATCAGTAGTACACACACTACTACCTTGTTGGTTATTTACTTTCATGTTTTGGAGAAAAGGTGATCACTTGAGGAATATTCACGTTTTTTTATCACTTTTCAGAAATCAGCAACCAATAATTATCATGTTAATACTAATCATTTCACTGAACAAAACAGGCTGGAAGTTTTTTGTTAGAAAAAGCTAAACAAAATAACCGGGAGATAAATGATATTCGTATATTTGGATTAACCATGTAGTGTAATCCATAAATCCATATTGCTAAACTTCAACAATCAGTCATTCAATTTTAACCTTCTGGCAACCATCTTTATCCATTCATAAACTACTGATTTTTACTAATGAAGTGAAAAATACAAATTTATCTAATAATGTGTGTTTATTGGAATGATTTTACGATGGGTCCAATGTATGTTTATTGATATTTCTTATTTTATTGCATACGATCATAATTATTTCCCTTCTAAGATATCGAATCTTTAGTATTTTTCCACCATAAAAAGTTTGTTTTTCACTTTTTTACAGCATTATCTATACAACTTAGATCATATAGTTTCATCTATTTTAATTAATTAAAGAATAATAATGTACATAATAGTTCGAATCTAATTTTAGGATTTGTCTATCTCTTTAAAATGTATCCTTTTTTACTAACTTTTATATAGAAGAAACAACTGATTATTGTCATTTTCAGTATTGGGTTGTGGAGATTATTATTGTCATTTTGTTGAATACTTTACATAACTTCATGATTATTTCTTCATTTACAACTTTACTTCAATTTACTTCTAGAAATATTTAAATATTAAAGTATAAAAAAACGTAGAGATCGCATTAATGTGGAAACAATTTACCTATTCATATAGGTATATGGCCCTTAAATATTTAAAATATTAGAAGAATCACTAATCTGATGAATAGGTGTTTATATTATATGGATATTTTTTATTTTAATGAAATTCTGATAATCTCATTTACAGAGCAAGCATGATGTTATATTCGAACAAAGAATAAATGAATTTTAACTGCTAGGGATTATTTATGAACTATTATTACGCATATTGCTATTGGATAGCTATTAAGTAACCAGATTATGTATATATTCATATTCCTTTCATCACAAACTTTCATTTGACCTATTGACTACTATTATACGACATACTATTCTCAAGTTATCCCTAATTAGTTATTTACAGTCCCTTACACTCACAGCCATTTTGGGCTTGATCTTGTTTGATTATTATCTTTTATTTTATGCAGACGGGACTCGAACCCATGACCTTTGGTCTCGCGCGAACACTGAACCTCTAGGCCATCCAACTGGCATCTATTAGTGATTAATTAAATAATTTATTTCGATCATAAATCCACGTGTATTTGACCAATATCTAACGGCTTGTTAAGCAATAATCACATCAGTACATGAGAGATCTTAATAACTGGAATGTTTTCAGTACAGCTAATTGTGATATAATCTTTGTTTACGATTATTATCTATTAACATGTATTTCAATTACTTGGATGAAGTGTATGTAAGTTAAGTAAATTAACAACAATGTAATGATGTTACTTTGATAACTCTCTTTAACCAGTTAGAAGTATTTAATAATAAATGTTGCAATCAAGTATTAAAGAAATTAAAATGTTTTCAAGTGTTCACTAAAAAATTACTTTTATTGAATTTTTAATTGTTAATATTATCAGCTAATTGTCTAACATACATTCAGTACACAAAAACTCTCCAGGGAATCGTACTTTTTTCCTACTGTCAACAAGATATTTGATAATAAGTGTCTATTTAAAAACAAGCATTCAGTCACAAAAAACTGAATCCCTAGATTACTTTTTTTTATAATTTTTACATTGATAAATCAGGTTATATGCAACTGTGTTAGGAATGTAGTTTAACAAATTCCAATCACACAAATATATATGTGATATATGTTGTGAAAATCCTTTCGTTTGTGAATTTTTCTTTGTAGTTTGTGTTTGCTTTAATTCTCCATTTTTTCATCTCCTTTTGTCTACTCTACAAACATTCTAGTATGTTTGTTTTTAGTTTCCTTTAGATATAATACAAAGATATATTATCTTGATTAGTTTTTCTCCCCATCACATAACACTATGATGATTAATTCAATGTTTTTACGCGTCGAATATTTCGATTAATTAATTTCTAATTTACATATGTAGTGGACGCTACTAACAAGATTGTTTGTATGTACTATGTAGCAAAACGTGACGTCAAAGTTGCTACGATTGTCAGATGCAGTGAAAAGTCTTAGTGAATCGAAAGCACGGCGTTAGCAGAACACTTAGGAACCAAACGAAAAGACAGTTCAGACGTCAAAACACGACAGAAGATGCAAATGAAGTTAAAGGTTATGTGTATATATCTTGGTGATACTTTGTAGCTTCTGGCGATAAATATACATTATTCCTGTCTATTTTCGTGCTTAACAAATAAACATAAATTATTTGACCTGTTCAATTTTATTCATTTGAGTTTTTACTCTGAACAAGATTGTCCAATAAAGTGTGTGTAAGTACAGGGTGGGAAATCTATGTAATTAAACAATCGAAGAAAAAGGATATTAGTTTATACAAGTAACCGACTAAATTACTGCAATATTCTATCATGTTTGCATTCGTAAAGAATCAAACCGTTTAACAATGTCACTTCTAAGTATCTGACAGATACAAAACACTGAGTAGATATATTTTTAATTAATTGAAGTGAATAAAAACATAAAGTGTAAGCTACTTAAATTTAAATAAAGGTTTAACAATCAAACTCCATTGAAATAATTTATTTTACTCAAAATTATAGATATTCTATTCATTCTGGTAAGAGAGCATTTATTTGAATGATTGTTATTATTATCATAATCATTGAGTTCATAAGTTGACGTTATCTAACTTATATTTGCTTGCGATTTCAATAATATTCACCAATCTACACGAATCCCTTTACTGATAAATAGTTACCATTTCAATTCATTTGTTAGTTCGTAATTGTTTATTATAATCTTAACTAATTAAGGTTAAGTCATATATCATTCTATTTGAACTTCTCATTAATTTGTGTTTACCTAAATGTATAGACATTTAATTCAGTCACCTTGCCTTCATCCATTCATTCTTGGCTTTGTAATGCTTCAATATTCCAGAATCTTTCGTATGAATAGTCTAAAATTTTGAAGAATATGATTATTTAAAAAATTTTATCTTTGCGTTCGCCTTAAATTGGTTACCCTTATTGATTAGTCATTCAGATTTGTAGTTGAAGAAACTTATAAGAATGAATTGAAAACAATATTTTTCATCCTTATATTTGTTCTTTAATAGTATTATAAAAAATAAATCTTTAGTATACATTAGTTAATTAAGTTGAAATGGATTTCCGAAATGAGACATTAGTAGAGTAAATTATTTAAAGATTGTTACTTATTTCTGCATTGAAAATGTAATCATACAAATTAAGGGAAGTCAAAACATAGTCGATAATAATTAGTAATTGGTAATAAGTGATCATGTAATCAGTCAACATAGTTAAGACAATATTAATCTAATGAAAAAACTTTAATTCATTTTTGTATTGTTTGTTTGAATCTTTCCATTAATGTTTAGGACTGCAGTTGACCAGTCTCTCATTACACAAGCTAGTGGCTATTTGGACGCAGTAGTTAAATAGATAATGAGATGGCGTTTGTCACATAATTGTATATAATAAATTCTTTATTTTGACGAAGTAATTCTGGGCTAAGCTTTTCTATGGTTACAGAGAAATGTATGATAAACCACATGAGAGTTCATTTTAACTGTAACTTTAAATATCTAAGGCTAAAAAATAAACTAAAAATCGGTTCACTGATTCAAACTCACTACATTTCTCTTATAGTGAGCGTTTGATTATTAGGCTTCTAACTGTATTGCTCACTCATTTTTAATAGTTGTCTATATACGATCGATCTATTAAGAATAATGCCTACACATTATAAACATCTACAGTTACGATATTGCATAACGGATGACAAAAGCAAACAGAATTAAGTTTTCAGAATTTTTTCTAAAAACAGTCATGTTGGTGATGATACTGAAGAAAGTCAGAGATATGAATCTTAAAAAATTAAACTATGTAGTTGACTTAATCATCAAGTAATGAGTAGAATCAGTATGAATTTTCGTTACATTAACAATCCAATATTTTGGTAGTGATATGTATTTTTTTGAAGCTATTCGTTGGATGCACCATTATCCATCAAAACTAAATATAAAAAAATGTGGCTGAAAAATTGAACTGATGATAACAATAATAATGACATTCTCCTCTGTGTAGTCCCAAACAAATACCCATTTACTAGCATGGGAATTTTAGTATTTTAACAGTTGAATTTAATAGTGGTCTAGCTTGGGTCGACTCATGAATTTAATCGTTGAAATATCCATTTATTAAAATGACCATCAATAACCCCTTTTATCTTTTATCATTGCATGGATTCCACTGTTTAACTGGATAAAGTTATAACTGATTTATGGATGCTATCAAGTAGATTATTGTGTTACTAATTATAATTAAAGATGTATATATATATATATATATATATATATATAATCTTTAACTTATTTAATAGTACCGTTTAATGTAAAGCTATACATTATCAACATATAAAACCACTCTTGTTAAACAACAATAACAACCACAACTTACAACTGCACAAACCGGATATCCCAAATCAGAAAATTTTTCACCACATTTGATAATTTCTTGTTGACGTTTTCTTACACCATGTAAAATTGACCTAGCGTTTCTAATTGTATCTTTTGAATTAATTGGTTGATTATCGTCAATGAAATTGTGTTTATCATTTAGGTAAAATAATTCCTTATTTTTTATTTTCCTATTCACCGAACGTCGATATTTTGTTATGGAGAGTTGTGATCGAAAACTTCGACTTAATGATCGTGATTTAGGAAAGTCGTCTACACGATTACGATGAACTGCATTTAAACGTAAAGGATTCAATGCCCATTCAGGTGTTATACATAATCCGCGTACATGACCTTCTGCGCTAACAACCTGGTATAATTTAATAACAAATGATAAGCGTTAGCCAAGGGTTAGATATCTTTATAAATTTATCGAGAACAATTCAATGTGTTATTCATTTTTTCAAAGATAAAGATGGCTTAAATTATTACTGAGGGTGTCTAAAGGATGTTGGTTAATATAAACTAACATACTTGCACAATTACTTGCGTATTTATTCGTCTATCAATTTTCACTTCTACATTTAAGCAAAAGTATGAAACTTAACCCCAACTAACCTCGACCACACGAATATTGAATACGATTATATTAGGTGTAAAAATAGTGTTGGCAGTACAAACGGTAGACTTCATAACTGTGTGATTTAAAGTTGATCAAATATTACAAGGGAACTTATTTTAAATCTTTTCTAATTGTTTACAAAACACTATTCTACAATGTTTGTTCCTGTATAAATTTGATTAGATACTCTCTTGATTGGTATTATTATTAACTAATTATTATACATGCAAATTCAGAAAATTAGAATACGGTTTATTTTAAAAGGGATTATATGAATAAATAGTTAAAATTAAATAAAGTAATTTTCAGAAGATAACCGTCTTGATAACATGCCACTGGTTGAAGGTTTTAGATGGTTACCAATTATTCTTAATTATTGGCTTTCATCACTAACTGTTGGATAAATTGCTTTATTTTCTTGCAGAAAGTTACAAGCGTTCGGTTATGTTATAAATCGAGTGAGGTTTAATATATTAAGCACTGGATAATTTTTCAGTATTCGACACAAGACCTAAGGCGAAAGCATATGATTCCTGATGAATCAAAAAACGAAATAACGATCTAGTGCGTTCTGGTTTTTGAAGGTTTCCTAATGAGAAAATGATCTCAGAATGATCATTAATAATGTTTGACTGTTCGTTAGCTATATCAAATAATGGAGTACAACCGATTAAGTAAACAATATACATAAATAGTAAATGACAAATAAATTTTAGTAAGACAGTTCAATTCATAAGATGTTTAATAAAGCTATTAAAAATAATACTAAAGTCCATTAGATTAGTTATGTCTGACTTAATAAAATAACTATTGAATCAAACTTCATTCCGAGTTAATATAAACAGCTTACATCTGGCGATATATTTTCAAAACGTGGAGGTCCACCATCTTCTGCCTGATATCTAAGTCGATCTAATAGATAAACTAAATATTCACCATCTCTTGTTTGTACAGGAATTGTTAAATTAACCCAAAATTTTTCCAATGGTGATGGGCCAGCATTTGTAACAAGATAAATATGTTTCAATTCTGGACCAATTGTTTCTGGATGAATTCTTTGCATCTCATATGGTTGTACAGAAAAATTCCGAAAATCAATAATTGTACGATCCAACGCAGATGATGAAAGCTAATCAAAGGAAAATGTTTTTTAGAAAGGAAAACTTAAATAAGTTGGGGAACTTATAATTTCGAAAAATAGAAGCCACGCTCAGATGGTTTTATCATTATCAAAATATCACCGTTAAATTAGAAACATAATAATATTTTAAATTATTAAAACTGGTTCAAATTATTCTTTGATATTTCAGTGATGTTTTGATTTCATGAATCGTCTCTTTTATATTTGGATAGATGCATGGATTAAGATTATAACCTGATAGAATCTATTCATATCTTGTTTCTTGACGTGAAAATGTACACAGACATATAAACACAAAGAAATTGCTAAATGATAATCACTATAATGTTTTATTGCGATTATTAGCCGATCTATGTAAAAAAGCTATTGGAAACGTGAAAGCACTGAACAGCTGTTTTGTTCTAGTATAGGAATCACCAGAGGTGTACATCTGCGATCTCGCAACCAGGAATTAGATCTAGAACCGATACCTGTATTATTTATTCAATAGACGTATTTGTAGCTGAATATCTGATACCGTAATAGACTGATTATTTCTGTCAGGATAGTATACAATTCTAAATGTGAATAACGCTAATATGCATCAACAGTAGGTTGGCATTTGTAATGAAAAATAATGAGCTCCATCATCAGTGTAAACATCAGCTTTTCAGTAAAGGTATCAAGCCACAAAGTCCTAGACAAAAAGAGGCACATCCTTGATTCCTCTGTTAGCTGTATATCATATATTTACTAAGATGATGTTTAATTGTTTATAAAATATTTACTCATTCGAGTAAAATAACTACCATTTACAAAAGTCAGTAATACTGCTCTATTCTATCTCCGTTGTTTGATTTTCCCTGAAGTTGTAATTAATTCCTTTCATTTGTTTCTCAACTTATAAATTTTCCTTCTCATTATGGTAACTGACGTTGTGTCAACTTGAACTAGGGACTATCTTGACCATGGTCGGTTGTATCTTGATTATACATCCTAAAACATAAGGGCTGATGTACGATTACTGTAAAATAGAACATTTGATAACGGTAATATTTTTCCAATTTTTTGATTATCTATTTTAAAAAATAATTATTTTCATGAAATGAATAGTTGATGGGTAAAAAACTTCACTTAGATAAGGTAACTGCCAAGTTGGCAGTTAGCGTGATACTTACAGTTAAATAAATGTGAATTTTAAATATAATAATAATAGCATCTATTTTACTACAACAGAATTGCATAAAACCAATCAACTTCCGAAAAAAGAGCAGTCAAATCTTAATCTAATCGTAGTATATTAGATTTAAAACTGTGAATTCATACTTTAAAAACAAATACAAATGGAAAGTCATCGGGTTGTTCAGTTCGTGTTAAACAAGTTGCATTTAATAACCCAATGATTTCAGGAAGAAAACCAACTTCCCAGATTGAAGTGATATGAATGAAATATGTAATTTACTTTTCTTTAACTTTCAGGTTTTAACTTTAAATTAGTCAGTCAGACGAGAACCGGTGCTTTCAACGTGGTATGGTCGCCGGCATATCACTGATTTCATTGTATTTAGCTTTTACTACCCTTATTGGTAAATTCATTTTGATACCCATTGGCTTAGCATATTAATAATCATAGCTTATTGTATTGGTATAAAGCGCATCAACTTGAATCTATGCGTATCTACCCCTGATTCTATAATATTTATAACTGATTCTAATGTGTTCCTACATTGTTCATTATTCTTAGTATCAATAAGCAGTGGAACGTAGCAGACATAACAACAATGATAACTTATTTCTAACAGCTTGAAAAACAAACAACAAACCTTTTAAATAATCATAACAAAACTGTTCAATTCATCATAAGATAAATCTTTGGACATTGAACATAGCATATTTCCTATTATTATCTTTCAGTTTAAATTAAACATATGTTATTAATTATCATACATTACAACAAACAAGTTACAATATACAAGATTGCTGTGTGTACTTTTCGAATTATCTGCCAAAATAGAAGTAAATATCATCATAATCATCATGGATTTTTACTTCAATGAAAACTATATTATCATTATTATCCTTTTTCCCATTGAACCACAACGGCATACCATAAATTGTAGGTGTCACATTCCATTGATATTGTGAACTATTCATGTCAAAATTTCAATGATTTGTTCAGTGTTAGTATTATTTTTTGTTAAACATATACAGAAACAGAGAAAGTATTGACATTTACTTATCTGTTGATTAACATATAATTTAAGGAGATTAACTAAAATCTAATCAGTAAAAAAATTGAATTATTACATCTAAAATAGTGTATCTTAAATATTATTAGAAATAATTAAAAATTCTATTTGGCAAGTGAAATTAAAGGAATCAAATATTAAGATGTTAAACTTTTTATTCTACTTCAATAAATTTCTCAATGTTATTATTTGATGATTTGTATCATGGACTGGTTGACGACAAGTTTGGATGATCATTGTAAATTGATAGGAATGAGGCATGTAAATCATTGGATCCTAGATTATTGATCTAAAAATTAAACTCTTTTTATTAGTTTTGGTTTCGATATCTAGTTGGTTTATAGATCGACACTTAAACGAAACAACTGTTCACTGGTTTCTGCTTTTAGTGCTTGTTTAATTAATATCAGTTCGTAATATAAACTATGAAATCTAATCATCTTTACAATCTCCCATATTTTTAATATTATTTTAGGACTATTGAGTTCCTACTCAATACAAAATATTGTACTTCAGTGGTCGTTGCTTGAACAATTTTCTTCCCATGTAAATTAAATAAATTACGTTGATAATTCATTTTATGCCATTCGTATTCTTATTATCAACATTACTATTTTTAAAATAAAAGCTTTTGTTTTAAACTTACTTCAACTTTAGCAGCCAATTTCAATTGATAAGTAATACTTGCTTTATTATTATTTATATTGTCATCTGTATTTCCACTTATCACTTCAGCTGTTATTGTTAAATCTTTAGGAATTGACAAAGTATTACGTTTATTCCGTTTAACTTTATATGAATGGTGTATAGGTTTAACGTGTAATTCCTCATATTCATCATTATTACTATTATCTCTCCTTAATGACGACGAATGTATGAAAAAATCATCCGTTCTCATTTCATTATCATCTTTATGGTTTGGTTTATGGATCATTTTCGATAATGAATCAAGTTTTTTCATATCATCATTAGAATTATGTGAATATAGTTTTTCTAAAGGATCATGATCTGAAATATTTTCTGGTTGATCGTTTATTGGTTCATCTAATTGTCTAAATGCTCCAGCTGTATTTATTTGAAAAGTGAATGAATAAAAATGATCATTTCCTGTATAACTCAATGGATCATCTAAATTACAAATTAATTGAGTTTGCTAGAGAATAACAAGGGAGAGGGGGGGAGAGAAAATGAAAAAAAAGAATATTAGTCTTTGAAAAATGTGCCTATTTTAGAGATTTAACTATTAGGCTATGAAACTTAACAGAGTCTACATTAATACCTGTATTAAATGTCATTCAGCTATGACCCAATGTAGTAGAAATGAAATAATGTAAAACCTTTGATCAAATACCTGAAGTGAATTAAGTTTTGCTAAAAGCTGAACAGACAACCCACAGAGTAATCACTTTTTTTTCCACACATCTATACATTTGAAATTTATCAAGACTTGTATTGTATATACTGTTAAATGTAACATACAACATCATTATTTTGTGTGTCAATCAGATTTCCAGCTTGGAATTTTTAAAAAAAAAAATAATATTGAGTAGAAAATACAAGTTAGAAACAGAACAAAATTGATAAGTGAACAACTGTTCAAAGATTTTCAATCACTTTCTTTCTTATACAATCGCCTTATTTATACGCATAACATTAGAAGAAGATAATGTTATTCGTATTTTGGTAGCATGACTCATTATAGAGAAAAAAAAATAAAAGAGGCAATAATTTTAAAATTATATTTATTGATCAATTGTATTAAAGTGATATTAAGATATAATGTGTAAAAGATGTTCAAATATATCGAACTTTAAATAAATGATAATTGACATATTGTAACCTTGAGATTTATTTTATTCGATTTAAATTTTTTTCAAATTCAAATTTTATAGATTAGTGTAATAAAATAAAACATCATTCTTATAAATAATAAATGAGTCATTAATAGAAGTTTATATGAATATCATCAGTTGTATAACGTATATATATATATATATAATTTTTTTATTACATTCCCGAAATTCAATTTTTTTCTGAAAAATTAAGCAATTAAAATGTATTTTTTGGTAAACTTATATAATTTATTGCTTTTTTTAATCGATTTTATATCCCAATTCATTGATTTGAAATATATATATATATGTAACAGAAATTAATATTCATTGGATCTTTTCAAAATAATAAAAGTTATGTTTTTTTTCTTTTGGAAGCTAGCTAATAATGAAATATAAATTATTAATTCGGGAAAAAATGGTGCCTAAATAAATAAATATATATATGCATAAATAATTCAGTAAAATTAGACGACAAAGAGTCGCGTTCAATGGTTAGCGTTTTGTTTTTCCAGTTCACCATAAAATAGTTTCATCATTTACTTTTTAACCTAGTATATACACTAAATCATGAAAATTATGTAATCAAAGATGTGAATAATACGTGAAAAACTAGTGTTATAAAAGAAGATTTTATTGTTTCATTGATAAGAAATTGTATTACAAGAATTTGTTTGTTGTCGTGTAGAGCTAATAAATAATACTATAAAATATAAAAATTAGTGTTAGTGATGTAGATAATTATTTAACATTAAACTAATACGAAGCCTATAGAATGATGCTATCATGTAAATGTTGAAAATTATTTCTAAGTACACTTTGAAAGTTTTCTTATTTAAATATGATAATCAACATCATAGGTTGATAATAACAGTGAGATTAAAACATTGGTTAGATACTTAGTTTCGTGAATTTTCTTGATGAAATGCAAATTACCAGTATATTTGTATATGTATATTAAATTCATCTAAAATTTCTGAAAATTAAAATAATTTCAATAGTAACAGTATCTGTAGTGAATATTTTAGTAGTAATCGATTGTGTCACTAAATATAAATGAACACTATTATGTAATGAAAATTGTATTCCTGGCAAAAACACTTACTTAAGTGGTACATTTGTTATTATTATTGTTTGTTAAATATTTGAGTTTATGGAAGTATAAAGATAGATTACATCACACCTTTACATTTTAATGTCCATCAGATGGATAACTATCACTCGTATTTCTGACCCGTAAATTTTATTTTCATTCTCTTATTCACCTCTAACCTTCTGAACATTAGGTAAATAAAAAAGGAACAAATTTAGCGAAGAAATTTCTTTTCAATTAGTTTTTCATCATGGCTGAAAAGAAATTTCTTCGCTCAATTCATTCCTTCTTTATTTACCAAATTTCAAAATGGGAATTTTTACTATATTCTGAACATTATATAGCCTTTTTTTGACTTAGGAAATTTCGTATCGTTTTATTGTATAATCTCCTTTTTTCAGTATAAGAATCTTGAGATTAGAGTATTTTTGCACTTGGATGGCGGTTTAGTCTTATTATGGGACTCCTCAGCAGTGCACACCTACTACAATACTACAATCTTCACAAATCTTCACTCTGGTAATAATCATGTACTCGCTAGTGACTAATTTCAAGCTGTAATTGTTGAGGTTATAGTGAGAAGCTATGACCAGTGGAGTTTAATCCATGTCAGTTGTGAGACGGCTATCCACTTCAAAAAATGGATGAAGGGTTGTGTAAGATTGATTGAACTTAGACATTAACCCTGTTCGATGCCAGCTCTCGAATCCGCGCGTGATATCGAAGATCATGTGTTTGAGTCCTACATGTAGGATGATGGACGCGCACTGGCGAAGAGTCCCATAGTAGGACGAAATGTTCGTCCAGTACTTCCAGGTTTTTAATGGTGTTGCATCAGAGATCGACTCATGATTTCAACTGCGATTATCCCTTTTCATTTTATAGAAAAGGATATATTTATCAAACTATAAATACGAATTTATGGTTTAAGTAAATGATTTCATAGGGAAGAAAATTTTGTCTATTTAATTCTCTTTATTCCTACTGAATATTTCAAAGTACTTATTGACTATTGGTTATTATAATTATAAGTAGTTAAATAGTTATGATAATCAAATGAGGTTATCGGAAAATTTTTAGTATCGAACTATACACATTACAGATAAATATAAACATATTACATTTTATTTTGTATAAACAATGTAATCTTTATAGCCATAGATAGAAAAGAATTCAAATCAAATGAGTTACAATGAAACAAAATGAAAAGCTTGAAAATATATTTATTATTACGTTTCTATAACCGAGATTTAAATTTATTTATTCCTTGAAAAAGCTTAGACCAGATTACTAGGCAAAATGTTGGATTTATTTCAAATTCATTCGCTGAGATTTTACAAATACATTCTTCCTCTTTAATTTATTGGATAGTTAAACTTTCCTTGTTAAGGCAGCTAGTTAACATTTTATATCTTTTTTTTATCATAAGCATAATTTAAAACACATAGTACACCAATCATATACTTGATTACTGGTTTTCTATACGAATCGTATGAAGATCTTATTTACTGATAAGAAAACTGGAGGAATGATTTAATTGAAAAGAATTAAATCTTGTTGAAGATCAACTGAATCCAAGTTAACATCCTCTTATACATAATAGACGGTCTTGCGATAAGATGAATCTGTGTATAAGGAAAGTTGTATTCCACAACTTCTTGACTTAGGCATAAAATAATGTGATGTGATTCTTAATCAACTTCAGTCATGTCGCTCAGATAATATAAACTTTCAATTTTTACCCTCTCCTTCACATGAACTATTGTTTGCTCATTATCGACCTTTTCCAATTTACAAGACATCAGAATATCCTATTATTATTATTATTACTCTAATGACGTCGACTCAATAATCTGATGAGTTCTTCTTGCTATTTTTTAAGTACAACCTCATCACTTCACTTGTAAGCAATTAAAGTATGCATGATGTATAACACTGAATAGGTCAATTTAAGCTTATATGCGAAATATTAATCATCGTAATATAAAACACGAAGATATGTAACCACAAAAACACAGGAATGAAGTTATTTAAAATAACTGTTTGTTGAAATATTAAAATTATTGTAATGAACACATCTGAATAAAGTACAAACTAACTTTCAAATCATTCAATGTCACAGTTTGACATGATAAACCTTCTGGTATACTAAAACTCAATTGATCAGGAAATATCATGTGTAATTGAGTAGAATAAGCATTTTCACCTAAATTCCCAATATGAACAGTAATATTTCTTTGACTAACACGCTCTCTAAAATAAATAATTGATTTATCAGTTGGACCTTCAGAGATATCAATCATTTGAACTTGTAAATCAGGTCGACATATATTATCAACGCCACAGGCTGGATTGGCAAATTGCATTGAACGACTAATAAAGTTTCGACTGCCCAAGAATGGATGCAATATCCATGATGATATTGATTTGTGTTCAACAAAGGACATTGGCTCATGTACAGGGTTTAGTGTTACATTAATACGTACAGGTTTCCATAAAAGTGCATTTATTTTCGAGGTTAAAGGCTTAACAATAAAATCAAATAAAGTTATCCGACTAGAGTTTTCTTCTATGAATTCATCCGTTTTCAATTCCACAAGCATATCAATAATTCCTTTATCAGTTGACTGATAAATCATTTGTTTTCGTGTTGTTTGTATGGTGAGACGTTTATTTTCAGGCTGTTCAACATCTGAATCCAAATTAATCAATAGTCGAAGTTTCCAATCTTTAATTTGTTTCAATAAATGTTGCTTACCATTAATTCGAGCAGATAATTGAATTGGAAAATAGCACTGTTCATCACAGGTTAAAGTATCTTTATATCGCCATGATAAGGTTGGTTGTGTTGGGAGTTCCCAAATTGGTGAATCAAACCATAAAGTGTTACGTCCTCGAAGCATTACGACCTATTTAATTGAAGATAATTATTAGATAAGATTTTAAATTTAAATTTTGATATTCAGTTGTGATTTACGGATTGACAAACCCAATGTAGAAGATATAAACCAGTTTTTAAGTGAGAACATTAAAATTTCATTTTTTAAAATAAACAACTCATCTTAAAGACTGTGGTAGTACATGAATCACCACCGCACAGAAAAAGTTCCAAAAGTAGAAACCTTAATTTAGGTTACATGTTTATATATATAATTCAACAGTCTGCCTACTACAAAATAATTTCAACATTGATTTTCGAAAGTTCTATTAGGAAATCACTGCCTCTGAACTTAAAAAAATTTTGTAAGTCAGATAGTAGCACACATTGATAAAAACAAACAATCAGATTCATACTCAGTCGTAAAATGACAATAGATTCATAATATGACATAAATATCTTTTCATGTGTCATTATTGAAGAAATATAAAGTGTTCTAAACGAAGAATAAAAACATTGATTCAGTCTTCCATAGTTTTGAATGCTTCTTTACCTGTTAATTATCAGTTTGTTAACAAAATAATCTTCCATGAAATGTTGATAGTATGCAGTTCTAATAGATAAAATATATATTATAACAATAAAACCCTGTCAGTAATTAAATTTAAACATTCAAAGGTTAATTTTAAGTTAGAAAACTATTACTGCAATTTAATTTACTTATATGAATATTATCTCATCTATACTATTATTTATGATCATTTTTATTATTATATTTATCAGTAATACATGTACTATTATTTTTATTAATCTGAAAAGTACTAACGGTTATCTTTTCAGTCGGTTTTGTCAAAAATTAATTGATTTGCATTCACAGACAAAACATATTCGTAGGCAAGTTAAAAGAAACACAATGCATAAAATTACCGAACAATGAATGTGTGTTTACTATTTTTCGGTCAAATAAAATTACAATTTAGAAATGAAATGACATTAATGAAAACGGAATATAGTCGAGTAACATAGCGGATTGGTTGCAGTTAGAAATTAACACTATTGAATGCCGACTCAGCTGTCTAGAGGTTAAGTGTTTGCGCTCGAGACCAAAGGTTCTGGGTGGATGAACATTGCTGAGTCCCATGATGAGGCAAAACGGTCGTTCAGTGCTTCCAAGTTTTCAATAGTGGTCTAAAATTGATTAGTTCATGGTTTTAATGGAATAATTTCTAGTTAATATTACAATTTATTTACTAAGCTTAGTAACGACTTACATTATTCATTGTTTTTATTCCAAACAAATAATAATTGTGCAGATTACAGAGATGAAACAAGACTACAAGAAAATAATTTAATAGGCAGTAAACTTTAAATAACTGGTTGTTTTTTTTATAATTATTGTTCCATATTTTGTCGCGTTTTACAATGAGACGTTAAACACAATAATTACGTAACGACCATACGGACTTCATCGAAACAGTCGAACGATTCAATACAGTTCACCCGTTCATAAAATTCACATGTGAGAAGGAAAATGGGGGTACGGTAGTTTTTCTAGATGCTCTACTTACAAGGAAGAAAGACAGTTCACTAAGAAGGAACATAAACAAGAAAACCACTTGGACGTGCCAATATACAAACTTTCTTAGTTTTGTTCCTCGGCAATACAAAAGGAACCTTATTAAGACACCGCATCATAGAATCAAGACCATATGCTCTCTAGGTACGGTCGAAGATGAAACAAAGGAATTATACACGATCCTGAAAGAAAATGGATATCCTGAGAAATTCATAAATAAAAACATAGCCACTAAAAGAAAGCATAGAGAGTGCCTAACTTTGAATAAAATGCCTCTGTATATACGGTTACAATTCAGAGGCGAGGCGTCGAGCGAAATGCTAAGACTGAAGGTAAGCACATAAATTCAAAGAAGTTTCAATACAAGTAAACTACAATTAACGTTTTCCACATGTTCAAAAATCACTCCAAGGTTGAAAGATAAATCGATTAGACTAGCTACCTCTTTCTGTATCTATCAATTCGACTGCTCCTGTGGATCAAGTTATATTGGGAGATGTTCTAGAAATTTGTACATTCGGGCTCGTGACATCTCCCAGTGTGGTTAAGCAAAGGTGTAGTCAAAAGGGTTAACAGCTCCATTTCACCCATTGAATTCAGACGGGACATACAACCAACATGGAGCAATTTTTTGCAATAATATATCGTGTTAACAGCAGTCTACCTAATTTTGTCAAACTGGGAATCCTGAAAACGGCCGAAACAATTGTTCTTCGGATCAAAAAACCAGAGCCCTGCATTCAAAAGAAGTATGTTCAGCCGCTCATTTTACCCTGGCCAACCAGTTAATAATCAATTTTATAATATGGGGACGTAATTTGATTAATGTTCATTTTTATGTCCCAAACTTATCAAATCTTATGATTATTATTATCTTTACCATTATTATCATTATCTATATCATTGTTGTTATTATTATACTTGATAAACTTTTTGAGGAATTTATTCAGCATTCACCCCTATTTACTATACCTGGCCTAAGTCATAATATTCAACATATTACGTAAGTTCTGATTTTTATTCCATTATTTTCACTCTCACCCCATGTTGACCATATTTATTCTGATAATTTATCTCACAATTTCATTTCACTTATAAACTGATTCAAGTTAACACTTCGTGTAGCGTCCTCATTTTTACTTGACTTTGTATACTTTTTTAAATTTGTCAAGTCCTTTAAATAACTCATTTAACAGAAGGATGTTGTCATTTAAGCCACTAACTTATTCTCGTCAATTAATCGATTCGTAAACTCTTCTCTCATATCGTATGATTATTATTGGTTGTATGGTTTATACCTGTACTGAAATAAACTGTCGCATCATTGAATTGCCTTCCAAAAGTTATGAAACATTAGAATTTATGGTAAGAACAATTGTTAAGGCGAATGATATAAAAAATTATGGAAATAATTTTGAATGTATTCCGCAACAATTCTCTAGCGTTAACGGCTTCTTGGACATGAAGTGAAATAAGGTTATGATTATATAATATTAACTAGTTTATAAATCCTCGACAATAATAAGAAAAAATGGAAAAAAAATCATCCCACAGGGTAATTCACATGACCTTACGCAACAAAAACTTCCAAATTAGGTTATTTACGATTATATTTATTGCGTGTGTTTTTTGCTTTCAGTGTAATGTTTTCGCTTCCTCTATCAAACATATTCCCAGTGTATCAACTGCCTACAAATAAAATCACAAATACTATGCACTAATAAATGCATGAACAATAACGTAAAGTTTGACACTTGACATTTTCACAAATGTTTTGACGTTTGATTTTCCGAATTCCCTCCACATAAAACATAATTTGTTTTCTTGTATATTTTTAACGAACAATTAGTTGTTAAATATCAATTTGGTTAATTGATAATTAATGTGTAATAAATTAGTAGAAAGATATATGTTTAAAAACACTATAAACGAATAGTATACTATAATTAGAAGTCCCAACAGTAGTTTAAGAAATAAATAACCCATAGTGTCATTGAATAAGAAAAAGAGAATTCAGCGAAGAAAATTTTCTTTTCGACGAAATCATTTACTTAAGCTGTACATTCGTATATATAGTTATATGGAAAATGTATGTCTATAGAAGGATATAATGGATTGTATCACAAAAATGGATTCGACAATAAATAACAAATGAGGTTAACGTACTAATCAAGGGGTAAGGAAGAACAAAATTTAAGGGTCAGATAATAGTCCAATTGACAGATATGAAGAAAAACGACAAAACAACAAAGGTCATAATAATAAACTGTCAATGCTTTATCATGGGGTCTAAGTACCAAGCTTCTATCGATGAATCTCGGTGGATTGACAGTAGAGAAAAAAACTCTATTTATGAATATGGAATTTAAGGGAGATACAGCTGCTGAAATCCTAAATAAACGGATTTCGAAATCAATGAATAAAACATTCCACGCAGCTAAGCTTCGAATCATCTTCTCTAGCCGACCTACCATTCTGGGGTGTGTTAAGGACAAACTTTCGCTTTGGGCCACTTCAATGTGTATCTATAAATTTACTTGCTCATGTGGGGCATGTTAAATAGGCCGCACAAGGCGATCATTATCCAAACGCATCTCGGAACATTATCCGGCTTGGCTTTTGAAAGGGGAGCGAAAAACAATCACGAGTTCTATACAGGAGCACTTAATCAACTGTGGACATATCGCTCCAAAAGACTCTTCGTTTAAAATAGTTTACAGAGTCAAAGGAACTGCATCGAAGGGGGTTCGAATCAATATTTTATGCACCGCAGAGGCATTGGCAATCCACAAACTAAAGCCTGAACTTTGCGTGCAGAAACGATTTGTCCAACCTCTTATCCTTCCCTGGCCTTAATGGGTATGTTTCTAGGTGTGTTTTTTTAATGCACTTTTATTATTATCCATATTTTTAAATTACTATTTCGCACTTTAAACTCTAATCATTTATTATTATTACCTTTTACAAGTTTTCTTGATTATCATTCAGTTTATTATTATGACCTTTGTTGTTTTGTCGTTTTTCTTCATATCTGTCAAATGGACTATTATCTGACCCTTAAGTTTAAGAATTATTTATGGAAATAGTCCTTGTGAATAAAATGTTTTATACAAATAAACAATATAATCATTACAAAAACAGATGTATTACAGGTAAACTCCATCGCTGGTTTTTAAATTAGACAGGAATATCTTTTCATATCTTAGCGTTAACAAATACCTTTTGTCAATATAAAGATTGTTGAATCTTAGTGAAATCATCGATCGATCTCAGTAAGGCAACTATTGTAAATCTGGGAGCATAATATTATGGATTGATTGATGTCAAACTTTTACACCATTGGATTTTGTTTCGGTGGCCGAAAGATTAAGTGTTCGTGTGTGTGACTGATGGTCTTTGCTTCGATCCTCGGTGGCAGGGTCGTTGATCTTCACTAGGATGATGCGGCTGTACAGTACTTTTAGGGTTTCAGTGGTTGCCTAAGTTAAATCAACTCGTGATCTTAACACAACTTTTTTCGGCGAATACGTTCTTTCTTTTCAATCTATATTATCTGCTTTTGTTCTCTTTTTCCTTACACTGATACTACTATTATTACTTTGGTATTCATCTTATTTATTTCATCTCGATATGTCGGTGTAAATTTTGGTAACTTGGACAGATATAAATTTTTCAATCGGTTCTTACACTGCTTGTTTCTGAATCATTTTTGACCAACACCAGCTTTTTCACTGTAATTTTGATTCTTCTTCATCGTTTCACTAAAAAAGGCTATTGACCAGTAAATTAGATTTAAAGAAAGAAAATAGCGCCTTAAGTTCAGTTTACCTTATCAGTTGAATTTAATACTGTATATCAACGCGTATATCCGTTTACTCAAACCCTTTTCTGTTTGAAACAAGTTATTTCGAGTGTTGTAAAGTATAAAATAAAGTATGAAGTAATCGGCACTTTTAACAAATTACATGAAATATGATTTGTAGTAATCTGTTGAGCAAAAGCAATACAGATTAATAAATAAGATGTATAAAAAAAGGAAAAACAGATACCCTTGCACCGAGAAAATCTTCAATTGAATCACATACTTGATCACTTTCATAATCTCCAACTACAAGATCAGGCGCATGATTCCCGTCTAAATCATATGAACCAGATAAACTCCAACCAAACGCTGTGAATAAACGTGGGCTTTCTGATGCATGATCACTGGTGAAATCAGTACTGCCACATATTGTTACTGGAGATTGTTTAGGTAAGTCAGAAGGCCATATACTCTATGATAAAAATAATTGATGTAGTTATGTATACATATCTTAAAAAGGCTTGTTAGCTTATCAGATCGTCGATAACCTTTGATAGAAAAAATTTCTATGGCAAACAACAAACCATACCATACAATGAAAACTATTTATAATAAGTTCATTTTACAAATTAAACCAGTGGTATTCATTAGTTAATGTTAAGTGAATTCAGTCAACTGTGTTCACTTTTAAAAGTTTGACTACATCAATTGATCATTTTCTTAATTTATATAAATCTCTTGATTCAGATGGCGTTTTGATCAGCTTCATTCAAGCTTTTATCCCATCTCAATTAATGTAACTATTTATAGAATACGAATTATTATTCGATTAAAAAACAGATTTATTTAAGCGAAATATATTTCATAACACAATCTGTTAAAATAAATTTCACAAGTCATGAACAGTCTATGAAACAAAAAATCAACTTAGGCAGTGAAATTAAATGATACCAACAAAATAATCGCCTATAAAAACGTACAACAATAATTATTTATAAATTTTCATTATTAAATCAACCGCTTCCTTTTTAAGAAAAAAAGAAACATTATCTACTTAGATCACGGAGAAATAGCTAATTAAAACAAACTTTCAAAGGATTCAATCCATCCATATTGAATATTGAGGAATATGAAAACGTAACTAACTACAAAAATCGTCTACATAATACATTTCTTTTTATTGACAGGAAGGCCATTGTTAGTTATTCTAAGTTTTTGCACTCGTTTAAATATTCTCAATTTTATTCTGGGAGTTTTTCACATCAATTTATATTGAATTAAGATGATAAATACTGTTTAGTAATTTCAGTTTTATAATGAAAAGTCATTTAACGAACAAATCATTTAGTTCTCATCTGTTGAATCAGAGGTTTACACATCATTCAGCCTAAATTAGTCTGAACAACTAAATAATATCACTAATCAATACGTAGATAAAAAAATAAACAAAATACATGGTATTAACCATTATTTGGTGAATAATTTACATTCTACATCGATCAATAGTTTTGTTCTTGAATTTCCGTTATCACAATATAATTTATTTTGTTAGAATTACTCCCAAAAACTCAACTTTTGGCAACAGAATTGAACTCTTACTATATGAAATTAAATATAACAGAAATCAGTATTTCCAAAACAATGATTTCATTCATTAAGGCCTATAATCAAATATTAGGCAGAATTATAGTGAAAGGATTAAATAGAAAAGGTGAAAACATATGAGCTGCTATACAGGTAATAAAGATCTAGTGGTTAAGCATTCGTGCGCGAGACCGAAGGCCCTGGGTTCGAATCATGCGAGTGGAATCGTGGATGCGCGCTGCAGAGGAGTCCCACAATAGGACGAAACGGTCGTCCAGTACTTTCAGGTTTTCAATAATGGTCTAACATCAATCGGTCCATGATTTCAATCAAAAACTTAATAATTTTCACAACCTCATACTGAAAATAAACTACTGAAAAAAATAGATCAAATACTTTCCATTCAAAGTTCAATGTCAAAATTTTCATAACCGTAAATACACTTCAATTTGATATTTTTGAGAAAAATTAAGAATAAATTCAATAATTATTACTAATAAGAAATCTAGACGAAGATTTCTATAAATTAAACATTTACATAAAATTAATGATGACTTAATTAATTCATAGTATATAACTAAATGTAAATTAAATGTTCAATACGAATTTTATGTCATAGAGATCAACATCGAGTGTTTTATTGAATGCAATAATGTGTGAGCAAATGATTCATTCTAGTTAACTCATGTAAATTGTGACTAAGCAATGAATTGTTTATCTAACTTAAATGAATGACGCAATATTGTTGCTAACATGAATATTAAATAGTGTTGTTACTTTCTTGAAATATAATTCATGTAAATGTTAGTGAAGTTTATTTTTTATTACCATTATTATTATTATTATTATTTTTGTAAATCATAATTAGCCAGATCTATTTTGTCTGATAATTAACTCGAGTTCGTAAACCAGTCAATGTTAAACCACCATTGAGAACCAAAAATACTGGAGGATGGTCGCTCAATCTCATGGACTGTTTGGAATTACGCATTAACAACGTCGGATGCCGGCTCTGTGGTCTAGAAGTAAAGCGTTCGCACACAAGACTGAAAGTTCTAGGTTCTAGTTCTGCATGAAGAATAGTGAATACGTACTGCTGACCTGTTCCATACTAGGACTGAACGACCGTCCAGTATTTCCAAGTTTTTAGTAGTAGTCTAACATTTTTCAATCCATAATCTTAATTAATAATTTACAATAGAGGGACAATTTTATAATTGTCGAACAATGAACAAAATTAATAAAAATCCCATTCTATTCTATTGTTAATAATAAATTTCTTTTTTTCTCTATTCTTCCGATTCGGCGAGACTATCTATAATTTATGGACGACCTTTGAACGAATCTTAAGTGACCTTGAGAAATGTCAGCCAATCACAAAACAGTTAGTATGGAGTGAAATACATTATACAAAATCAAAGAATTAAAGTGGATACACTACTTCTACATGGTTCAAAATCTTGTCAAGATTAGAAGAAGGTTCAAAGGCTCTAAAATCGCAATACATACGGTAGTGGAAATCATCCATGTGGCTCCATAATAGTCGGTCTCTGGAGCCATGATAAGATCTCAAAATCTATTTCAGCTTCGACCACATAGCTTCGATAGATTTTGTTTGCACTCCGGTTGTTGGGTCTAGAAAATGCCACTTGTGGATAACGACACGATGCACATAACTAAGTCCATTAAGGCATCTAAACGCTCTCCTATCATCCGTATATATTGTAGTACCTGGCTGCAGCCAGTGTTACTGGTGCTTTTATCATCTAAATCGCAACAATTGTCATAATTGGCCTTAGTCTCAATCTCGATAGAGCGGAAAAATCCTATTCTATTAGACTGCTTCCTCAAACACATATTACATCGAAAGACAACATCAAGATAATCTGCACAAGGACCACAAATCATTTGATTATCACGATCTTAGTAGTCTCAATTGTTGTAGCCGCTCAATTATCACGTTTTCTCTAAAATCCGCTATGAACCCATCGTCCGTTAGTATCAGGCACTGATATTGACGCTATGACCTCAAAATCCCTCAAACGCTTTTGATTGGCTCGCCTATAAATTATAGTCACGCCTCAAATTTTATTTGACTTTTCATTGAAATTGGCGATCATGAAAAACCTTGAGCCAAATATTCATGCTTGAAAACTATCAAATACTTACCTAATTTGTTGATTGTAAATGGATAACTAAGAAAAATATTTGGTTGGAAATACTGCTCAGATAAAAAATTAAAACCAAAGCAGACAGAGTTCCTATCAATTTTATGATAGATGTAACAAAGGGCTATAGTATGATTGCTCCTAGATTCTATTCGGAGCCCTGTTTGAAAGAGTACCAAAGATGTACCAAATCTAAAACTACAGTTAAAGAATAATGATAGACCCATATATCCATCCTACAACGCCACCTTTCACATCACGGTTCCATATAATTTCCTTACGTTGACGAATAGTGGATGATATGGATATATATTTGAATAGTTGTTGATGTTCATTAGACACTTTATATTAATTACAGTATAAATTTTGAGTAAATCACTTATTACCCATACGAACAAAGACCAATTAGAAATCATAGAAGGACTATGTAACAAAACAGTTAATAAGCGGAGATGGATGGTGACTAGCAGAGGAATTCAGGACGCGGGTTTCGTCCTATTCATGACTCGTCTGCTGGATACACCTGCATCAATGGGAAAACTCAGACAAACAATACAAAACTAAATTAAAACAATTAATATTAAATTTGATTAATATATTATTCCCACTTCTAAGAAGATTAACCCGATCATAGCCATCTTTTATCCTGTGAAGATTGAAGGTAGGATGTTTTCTTTATACTGTAAAATTGGTTGTTGACAAGACAGACCTAATCTGTAAATTTGTTTTTAAAACTTGCCATACTTAAATAATTATTTCTATGGTTCTTAAAGTTAAAACATATTTAGAAATTTCATAACTGAATAGCTGATTACCTGAAAAGGTTCTGTATCCAGTGTGGAGTCTTTCTTGCCTAAATAAATGAAAACAGCTCCCTTATCTGTTCGTCCATCAGGATCAGTACAATAAGGACAACTGACAGCTAAATCCTCAGTTCCATCACCATCGATATCACCAATATTTGTTAAGGCATGACCGAATCGACCTTTAGGGGATTTTGGTCCGTCTAAAATCACAGGATCTTGAGTGAAATAATCTGGGATTTCTGGTCTTTGCTTAGAGTCACTAAGTAAATTAGATAAATTTAAATGATTTCCGTAAAAGATATAAACTCTTCCAATGTCAGGTAGAAGATTTGACCATTGGATACCTTCATTATGATTAAATTGTTTTGAATTTATTGTATCTTGTAATCCTTCTTGATTTTGGCGTCGAGTAAAATATGGTGCACCAACAATAATATCAACTAGACCATTTCCATCAAGATCTGCGACAGCAAGACTGAAAAAACAAAAATTAAATGTTTAACATTAAAATTAATCACTTCTTAATAAATTCATTTATAAAATGAAAGATTATAATCATTTTTAATAAATTCAGGTTGACCTCTCTAATCAATATAATATTTATGAGATTGTTGTGACCAATTTCAAATCTGATTATTTGTACATTCATTTTTGAAATCTTCCTACGGTTAATCAATTATTCAACTTCTTTTAAATTTATGAATAAATCTATCTGACTATGAGTTTATCACTTGTTGCTTGCAGACTGTATGTATTTACAAGATAGATATAAAGGGAATGAATGAGAAAACATATTCAACAACTTGCAAGTGGACATAGCCCTAATAATCTAAATAGATGAGTTTTGAATTAAAACAAAAATGTTAATACCGGCATAGGGTTGAGGAGATTGTTGAGTTTTAATTGAGATCATGAACTGATCAATGTTATACCACTATTGAAAACCTGGAAGCAATGAACGGCCGTTTCTTCCTAGTGTGGGACTCCTCAGCATTGTGCATCCACGATCATGTACTCACTGGTGACTAAATTTAAGAGGGAATCCTTGGAGTTCCAATAAGAAGATGTGACGAGTGGAGTTCAACCGTGTCGAAAGTTAGGCAGTCAATCACCAAAGATGGTTGGTCAATATCACGGATTGATTGAATTTAGACATCAACACCGTTGAATGCCAGCTTAGTGGTCTAGAAGTTAACCATTCGTACACGAGACTGGAGATTCTGTGTTCTAATTCTGCATGAGGAATAGTGCATACACAATATTAAGGCGTTCCATACTAGGACTAAACGACTATCCAGTACTTCTAAGTTTTCAATGGTGATCTAAAATTGATTGGTTCATAATCTCCATTAAAACTGTTATTCATTCACCTACATTTGAATGTCAACGTTATAAACTGTTTTAAAATGATTGTTTAGAAATAAAGGTGGGAAAGTATTATCAATACAATTCGGTTATTTTCACATTCCTTTTTGTTTTGTTTATTTCGGAAATTCTTACAAGCTGATCATCCGAATATTTAATTAATTATCTCAAGGTATCTATAAAATAATATAAACACGGATAATAAATTTTAATTAAAGTTCAACGGATTTTATAATAGATTTTTTATAAGATTTAAACAATATTTAAACGCATTCTTACAAATGTTGAATACCTTTTCTTAGTGAAATTCCTATCTGGTATATAGTATTATTATAAAATATTTCAATGGCATTCATTTTAATAAATAATTACCGAATTCCAATTGGAATTCAATAGTCAATTATATAATCACATCGTGAAATTTCATAGTGAATATTACTATCTATGAAACAGATGTGTCTAAGAGTAAACTAATTATAACTTTTTATTTATCTCCTTAAAACATCTGTGTGGATAAACATATTGAAATATCCCCATTTTGTTATTCAACAATTTACTAAACTAAATAAAACAATTCATTTAGATTATTTCTATACATCTGCATATTTGAGAAGTAGATTATATCACACAAATTATATCATTTGAAAAATTGTTAAAAATGATGAAGCACTGAACACCTATATCTTCATACGTCCATAATCCTATGGAATGAGATCTTATTAAAAATCCGATTCATCAATTACAAGTTATTTATTAGTTCATGGTTGTGAAGATCACTGAGTTTTGATTGAGATCATGAAACGGTCAATGTTAGACCACTATTGAAAACTTGGAAGCACTGAACAGTCGTTTAGTCCTAGTATGGAACGCCTTAATATTATTTATCCACTATTCCTCATGCAGAATTAGAACACAGAATCTCCAGTCTCGTGTACGAATGGTTAATTTCTAGACCACTAAGCTGGCATTCAACGGTGTTGATGTCCAACTTCAATCAATCCGTGATATTGACCAACCATCTTTGGTGATTAACTGCCTAACATTCGACACGGATTAGCTCCGCTGGTCATGGTCATACGGGTCATTTATAAGATCGTTGTTATGATTTCACGTGTTACTTTCAGTTATGTATTACTAACTGGAATATTCTAAGCTTTTTAGTGATTCAATTTGATGACTACATCATGAACTCATTATATTGATGTTCTATAAAATGTGCATACTATAACAACCAATATATGACCTTTTAGCAACTAATATGTAGTAGATTTACTTAATAGTAGGCATATAAATCTGTCTGATTAAAAACCTTCAGACAATGAAAAAGGGATTATTTTGACGAGTTGGATAAAACAATGGTGGAAGTGATAAATATTTTGAAAATAATACACTGACTTGTCAACAATAAGTGTTATTACTTAGAATGATTAATTAATTAGTCTGAATTCTAACTAAATGTTTAATGAATTAATTGGTGAATTAGATAAATGCATAAATAAAATGCACGTATTCATCTACCTTTACGTATTTGTAGGAAATAACATAAATTAGTCATACAAATAAAGTGAGGTAATTAACATTTTTATAAAAGATATTTTGGTAAAACCTATTTAATATAAATTAATAAAGAAAAATGTAGGAAGTTTTACAAAAGTACATAATTAAGTTAATTACACTGTTGCTTCGAAGTTCAGTAAATGCTACTTCAGCAAAAAAATTAATTCTGAGCCCTAAACTTTCTATTTCAAGCAATGAACACTAGTTAAATTTAGTAAAAACGGATTGGTGAACATTATCCTGTATTTTGTTGGTAATTACTTATTCACAAAAGAAACGAAGTTAGTATTTATTATTGAAAAGCATCATTTTTACAACCAGGGCGAACAGATTGTCCTATTTGTTCAAGTTTGAAACACTTGGAGTTTAACAACCATCAACTTTAAGTCAGAAATCTACTGACATTTTAAAATATTTAATGGTTAGATTGAGCTTTGCTTAGTTCATGAACTGAAGACATTGAGTGGAGCATAATTAGGAAATGATATGCCGTTATAGAAAAGATATTAGGTAGATCATATTCACTAATCCATATTTCAATACTTTGCTATTAAATATGGTTCAGTTATGCTTCAAATAGTTTCTGTCATAAAAGTCAGTAGGTCATTATTTCAACGTTTAATGTAAAAGATGACCAAATTTAGATCGTCCAAAGTAATTACTATTAATATAGAGCAATTTGTTTCAGGTTTTAATTTTTTTCTAAAATATAATTATCATGAAACTGTGATGGTCTTACTTGACTTTCTCACCAACCCACTAATAAGAATTGAGAGTTGTTACAAAATCAGGAGGTCTAGTAAACGAAATCAAATTTAGACATGGAGATATTCAAATGATTATTGAAATCGAAAATGAATTATAAAAAATAACATACACTTTCGTTTCCGATTGGCTAACTGCTAATCAGTCACACAGAAGCGTACTTCATCGTATTTTTTAATGATTTTTAACACTTCATTTGTCCAGGATTTTATGTAGAAAGGAAATTATACTAATTATATACCTGGATAGGCTAGATGTAAGGCTTTATCAACAATAAGGTTTGGAATGGCTTTTTACATATGGTAAGGATTTCAGAACTGAACGTTTATATATTAGGTTTTGATTATGAAAAATCGGATTGTTTGGTTTCATAGTGAACAGACAAAGGTATATTATCATGCGCTAAGTTTTACTTTAAACTGCGTCATTCATAAGCAAACATTATTGACTTAAATCTCAAAACAAGAGAGCTAAACTCTGTAACTTAGTTATTTCATACTTACACGCTGATATGAATATTTATTACAGTAGTATTATCATTTTAAAAAAACTATTTGATATTGGAAGTTGGTGGCACAATATTACAAATTTACACCAAAACCCTAAAGGTCAGGCGCTTGCAGTGAAACTCAAAGGTTCTGAGTTTAAATGCCGTTGAGGTCGTATTTACTTAATGCTGAGTTGCATACTAGGACTGAATAGTTGTCCTATAGTTCTTATACTTCCTAACAATATTGAAGGATGCACCAATAATGATAGAATATTTTGTTAATTATCATTTTGTTCTCTCTATGGGTATTTCTGGAGATTGTAGTATTTTAACAGTTGAGTTCACGAGCCATTAGCGTTTGAGTTCAAGACCGAAACTCCTGGGTTCGAGTCCCGAGTGTGGGATTATGGAGGTACATTGCTGAGGAGTTCCATACAAGGGGTAAACAAACGTCCAACACTTTCAGGCTTTCAACGATGGTCTAGTTTAGATCGACTTATTAATTCAACTGTTATCATTTAATTGTTTGAAAACCTCATTATTTTAATTGTAAAGTATTTTCTCTAAAAATTTAATTTCATCACTAATTAATTCAAAGTTTGTTTCATACACATAGTTCCCTTTATCAAAGCTTATTGTAATGATAGATAAATTGAAAATCATTAAACAGTATATTTCTTTGTATTGTTCACTCAAAAAACATTAGTTTACTCATTAAAACTAATTTTAAATCGAATATCTATCATGAATTCCTTACATATAATCATACAGTAATTACTAAGTTGAGACTTATATTTATGGTGATAATGTTAGATTGAACTAAGAAGTTGTAAAACGTAACGACAATGTTATTCATTACTCTATAGTTCTTCAGTAATGTTGATTAGTGGTAAAAATTAACTTGGATAAAGCAGTATCACTTAAACCTTTATGTTAATAAAATTTATTACTTAACTCTTAATCAGCTTATTTCATGTAGTGATATATTATATACAAATAAATATAGGCTGATAAGTTTGAACATTACCTCACAAAGGGAACTCTTTCCTTTACAAAAAACTGATTTAAACTCTACATAGTATTATTGAATGGTTTAATACACTGAATGATATATAATTGGTTTTTGTTTTACTAAATTAAATGTTATTTGCAGGAAGGCTTTTTATTATAAGTTGTAATAATTGATGAAAAAAAGAATAATTACATGACTGACGAAGTAGAATTCCTATAGCGATTACGTAATCTATATTACTGATCTTCTGATTTGTATATTTGTCCAGAGCAAATAAAACAAATTTCGAAGTCAATTTAAAAAAACGTCTAAGTTCCTACTTTTTTTATATAATTGAAAAAACTATTAAAAATTATAAGATAAAATATTGAGATTATTAATTTACTTACCTATATCCAAAATAACTTCCAACATGACTCCATTTATCTTTCAAATAAGTTATCTATTTATAAAATATAAATAGTAACGAAGATAAGACATTGTAATATAAAACTTTGTGATCTAATCATTTGAAAAATGAATGAAAAATTATTATTTTAAAAAAAATGTATACACATTTATCTGACTATTATAAGTCAATCTCAGAAATTACCATAGGAGGTCAACTAATGTAGGATATATGTTTGAATATTACTTAAAGAGCATATGATAAGCGTAAACTCTTGATTTCATCATGATTAAAAGTTTTTAGTTGTCTAATGCAATAGTCAGCAACAGTCTACTGTGGGAGAGAGAGCTTCCATCTGAAGAGGAAATTAGGAAAAGATACTGAAAGTGGACGAAATGCATTACGGAAATCATCAAACTACATCACTTGAGCAAGCGCTAATTTGAAATCCTTAAGGAAAACGGAAAAGAGGAAGACCAAAGAACACACTGTGTTGAAACTTGGAAGCAGATATCTAAAGGATGAATATCAACTGGAAAGAATCGGAAAGGGCTGTCTCTGACAAAGTTGGATGTAGATTGCCGGTAGATGCTCCTTCACGAGAAGTAACAGGCGTAAAGTGGTAAGTAAGCAAATAATGCAACAGTATGTTTTTTAATATCGTATTTAGTAAAGTGACAATAAAACGCTTTGTAGGTTGAAGTGAATTCATTCCATTATTTCTTTCACTTGGATTCTTTCGCAGACTTATGAAATCGTATAAATAAATAAAATGTTATACAAATACAATATTATGTGTAACATGCATAAAGTTATATCAGTTCACCAGTGAAAAACAATTATTCTCAGATTGAAATCATGAGTCAGTTGAAGCTAGACCACCATTGAAAACCTGGAAGCACTGGACGGCCGTTTCATCCTAGTATGGGACTCCTCAGCAGTGCGCATCCACGATCCCGCACCACGCGGGGCTCGAACCCAGGACCGTCCAGTGCTTCCAGGTTTTCAATGGTGGTCTAGCTTCAACTGACTCATGATTTCAATCTGTGAAAAATTTCTAAAAATCTCCACAAACCCCTTCTGATAATAATCATCTGCTCACTAGTGACTGACTTCAAGAGATACTCCTGGAGTTCTAGTGGGAAGCCGTTACCAGTGGAGTACAACCAGGTCTGTTGTGAGATATCAGCTCACTGAAGATAATGGTATATGGTGGCGCAACTTCGTGGATTGGTTGAAGTTAGACATTAACACCGTTGGATGCCGGCTCAGTGGTCTAATGGTTAAGTGCCCGCGCGCGAAGCCAGTAGGTCCTGGGTTCGAGCCCCGCGTGATGCGGGATCGTGGATGCGCACTGCTGAGGAGTCCCATACCAGGACGAAACGGCCGTCCAGTGCTTCCAGGTTTTCAATGGTGGTCTAGCTTCAAATGACTCATGATTTCAATCTGTGAAAAATTTCTAAAAATCTCCACAAACCCCTTCTGATAAAAACAATTATGATTGGTTTTTCATATTCACACAAGTTTAATTTGTTGACGGACGGAATAGATGAGAGACTATGTGACGTAATCGATAAATAGCCGAAATAATGGCGAACATCTACGTTTTATAAAAGCAATAATTATTATTCGTCTCAATTGTAGTCCATATATACATCTGTCATTAGTGTAGTGACAAGCTTACTCTAATAGTTCTCTTCCTTAATGTTTCATTTTATTTGTTTATCTATATTCCTAATAACAACTTCATCATATATTTCAGTCAAGTTTTCAATTTAATTTATGGTTACCATAAATAGTTTTATTATTCTAAGATTACTTAATAAAATGTTTGACCCCCTATCAATTTATTCATTCTATTAAATTAATTTTCTCACACTATATTAATTACTATCGGCACTATCATGGTTACGTTGTCATTATTTTTTTCAATTATTTTCTTTTTTATTACGCTGCTTACCGTAATCATAACAACTTGCGGATATTCCTTACATTCAAGTACGTCATACACACACTCTCGCTCTCTCAGTTATTCCGTTTGTCTATCCATTAACTTGTATGAATACGGAAAGTAGTTACAACTTTTTTCAGCGATGATTTTTCGCTAGATTTTCACTAGAATTTATACATTTTACCCACCAATTACATTTGGATAACGTCATATGTTTATTAATATAAATCGTAGAATTTGTAAATGATTTACAGTATATAAAGTGTCTAGAAGTATTCATTTTATCCCATCACGTCTGTTGTCTTTGTATTTTTTAAAAAGTTTATCAAGAGAACTACTTGCACGAAAAGAAGAAGCAAATGGTATGTATATCTTACAGCCATTTAGCACCAAATTCAAAATGCGTACTGATTTACTTTGATGAACAAAATAAATTTCCCAGACTATTTTATTTAACAGGTTAAATATTTAAACAGTACAAACTTAATTGTATTGGACATTGAATACAGTTGAGGATGTCAACTGATAATTTAATATGGAGTAATTCATACATCAGATTGAAAATGAATACAGTATGATTTTACGGTATTTTCGTTGTCTAGACCTTAAACTTGAAGACTTATGTATCATTAAATAAAAATAAAAATAATTCAAGCGAAGAAAATTTTCCTTTTAAAGAAATCATTTACTTAAGCTGTACAATGGTGTTTATAGTTGTCTTTTAAATATTGGGTTGGTTGAAATTAGACATTAACACCTTTGAATGGCGGCTCAGTGGTCTAGTGGTTAAGCGCTTGCGCGCGACTGATAGGTTCTGGGTTTGAATCTCGCGAGGTGAGATTGTGGGTGTGAACTGATGAGAAGTCCCATACTAGGACGAAACAGCCGTTCAGTGCTTCCAGGTTTTCCATATTGGTCTAGCTTCAATCGACTCATGAATTCAACTATTAAATTAGTATAATATCCACAAAAACTCTTCTCTGATTTCAAATATATGTCTATAGAAGGATAGAAAAGATTGCATCATAAATTTATCCGAACCTCTTATCGTCAAGTGAGGTTACTTATTAATCAAGGGGTAAGAGAAGACATTTTCCCAGATTCTCGAAGCAATTTATGATACAATCTTTTCTATCCTTCTATATACATATATTTACCATAAAACTATAAATACGAATATATAGCTTAAGTAAATGATTTCGTTTAAAATATAATTTTCTCCGATGGAATTTTCTTTACTTGAAGACCATTTAATTGACATAAAATGATAAATATATTTCATAATCATAAGACGAAATAATCAAAATGTGACGAAAATATTTATATTCACAAGAAATAATCATAAGTTTTGACTTCACCGAAAAATAAGTGTTAATGATAAAATGAGAGCGATTACTTAAACTATTAAAAATATGTAAACCCTTCAACAGTCCGTATCAGATCTCATGTTTGTAGTTGTCTGCCAATTACGAACACTGGATAAAAGATGGGATTTCTGAAGCCCTCAAGTTTTTATTTAGTTACAGGCTGATGTTAGTCATTAGTGAAAATTAACTTTAATCTAAATAGATTTTGTGTTTGCTGAGTTGAATAAATGATTGTTATTTACCCATACCTTTCTACTTAGTTCATGATGTAACAAATCTAAGATATTTGTTCAACACTATTTATCAATGGAAGTGATAAATTAATTTTTAAAACATTCTACATTAAACTACTAGCTTTTAGCTTTGACCCTGCTCCACAAAATTTTAACCTGAGTGACTGATTACTTACATTAGCCTTCAAGTACAAAACGTGATTTTAAGCTGACTATACAAACATATTGTTACGTTCCCAAACTTGTTAGTCCGATAGCAAACTCGTAGTAAAAAAGAGAACTTTGGTTTTTTTAGTGTTAGGCAGTAAAGGTTAGAAAGCTACAAATCTAGATCTCTTAAAAGTATGAAGTATTAGAAATCTCAAGAGAATAGATAATCCTTCTGAGATTCAAACATGTATCATTCAGTACCCCAGTTAGTAAGTGATTTTCCACGAATAAACTTCTGTACACCAATGATCAATTACAAAGTGTACTTTGTTCTTCTTGCTACTTTAAGTTATAAAGTGATCTCAATCTGCAAATTTCAGATAATTAAATGTAATAGTTCATACTACACAATATATTACCATTTATTAAAAGAAACATTAAGAAACAACTTGGATCTGAAAGATTAATTTCTTGGTAATTATATCTTCTGTAAAACTGAATTCCCAGCCAATCACCATAAAATGTTATAATAATTAACCTCCTTTAAATTAATTCGTTCTGATACTTATTGACCTATAGTCTGATGTTTATGCATTTAGAGCATTTCATTTTGTCCTAACTAAGATTTATGATCTGTTATAAATGGGGAACTATTGACTAATGGGTAAAATCCCTTCTATTGTCTGAAACGTATAATTATAAAAATCCCATTTCTTCTGTACTTTTGTTCACATTCCTCACTGATTTACATATGGTACTAACACTCAAGACGTTATGTCTCTTTTCTAATATTTATTTGTTTGTTTTTGAATTCTATGTCTACTAAAATAAACAGGACTTTAAATCTGGTCATTATCGTTTGAATTCTTAATAATATTACTATCAACAATATTGTTATTGCTGACTACCGATAATATTATTTCATGTATTTAAACACCTTTAACCGGTTAATCAGATTTGAAAATTTGACTTTTGGGTGTATCAAATCAAGTACTTGAAAAATGAAGATTTATGCGGATTTATTAGTTTGGAAGTAATTGGTCAGTTAAAGTTATAGCACATCTGGTATGTGCTTCATCCTATTCAGAAATTTTTGTATACACAGTTCACATTCAAGACACCTCCAAAAATTGGGTAAGACAAGTTACCATTAGAATACATAGTTGGAATTAAAAGATTTTTGCTTGCAATTTCAGTCATTTCATAATATAGTATGAATGTTGCCGAATTCAATCACTTTTATGTTCATTCTGCTATAAAAAATAAAACTTTAGAATAGATACAGGAAGTTTTTCGGTTTGTTTTACGAATTATACACGTTCCTTTATGTAAGTTACACAAATTTGATTAACTGTGTCTCATAAATCCTATTGTTCATAACAAAATAACCTGATTTTTAGTTGGTCTATGTGCTGAACTCGTTGATTGGAAGATTTATATGTTACGGTACATTTGATACTTTCTCATTACTATAGAAACGTCCAATGGAAACGTTGTACAACTAATACCGAATTGTTATTTAACGGAACTACCTTGTATGAGATAAATTTGACTTGTTTTTATATCAAACATGAGAGAAAACTTTGTTTTAGATGTTAGCTATTGATAAGTAAAAAAATTGGCATCAAGGTAAATATTAAGTATATACAGATGGCAAGAAAGTCAAAACTATTAGAGACGTCTAAAAGTAGAATGCAAAAACTCCCTGATACTTCTAAAAAACCAGTAAACATATATTTTTACATCATTGAGTACAAACCAATAATAATATAAAAAATAGTCAGAATATTCAATACTTACTCCACCTAAATCCATAGCTTGATTTAATATCATAATAATTCCACGATAGTCATTATCAATCCACATTGGACTTGATGTAATGATGTTAATATTTGACTGAAAATGTTGCTGATCATCTGATTGTATATGTTTGTTTTGTCCACTAAGTTTGTTATTATTATTATTTAATTTGGCTAAAGCAATAGCATATCCTAAACCAAAACCCTTATGCTTTAAATCATGTGATGAACTTTTCAATCGAATTGCATTGATTAATTCACGACCACGATAACGACCTAGAAAGATATTTCCCTCAGTTAAATAACTTCCAGGCATTCCTAAAGCAACTAATGCTTCACCGGATTGATTACCTATTTGGTAAAGAATGTCAAAAAAGAAAGCAGATAAATGGATCAAATGAATATCTTTCTAAAGAAACTATGAGATGTTCTGAAGGTTTTGTCACTGAATGTTCGTTTTCATTTAGGATTAAGATCGTTTGAAGAACTGTTGTAAGTAGCAGTGAACAGATAGTTTATTAGTAAATCAATATAAATCAGTAACATGTGTTTCTTAAATGTTCACTTCTTACTAAGAATACGTAAACTGTTTGTTGCCGACTTAATTGCTTGATCAAGCTGTCTCTGTGTTACGTATTTTCGATCTCTCATAGGTCCGCGCTGAAAAGCCACAAAATTGGACGAAACGACTGCTTAATGCTTCCTGGTCTTTGATGGTTATCTAACTAAGATCAGTCCTCGAAGTAATCTAAGAAAGTAGCAGCGACTACGCTTTTTTTGAAAGATCAAGTAAATTATTATAAAGTGTGAAGCCACCATTTGGGCATTCGAATATATCTTCAATAATAATCCCAGAAAACTCAATCTTTTATGGATAGCTCGTAAATACAGACAATATTTGCTACAATCTTATTTTATGTATCTTGATTAGCAGGACATTTATGCTGGATTTCGAAACCATTTCACATGAATTATGCTATGAAAAATGTATGGCCTTCGGTTTGTCGCCTACAAACATCTGTATGCATATATGTTTTTGGAGTCACATGTTTCTTTTTGACAATGTTGTCCAACTGAAATTAAATAATTTACCTAGGTGGTTTATTTAAATTTTGAAAAACGCCTATACTAAAAATTAACATCCAGTGAGAAACGTCTAAAAACTGTGGAATACAGAACATCCGTATCGTTATATTGTAGTCTATTCAGTGGTATATGCCAACATCCATTCGGAAATTCAACTCATGACATTCTCATCTCACAATCAGCAAGATACCTTAAACACGAATGACTCGGTAGCCAAATGTCAACATTATTTAATTTTAACCACTTTAATGACTCAAAGCAGTGATTTCTTGTCTCACTTCTATGTTAAACTAACTTTCAAACAAGTATATCAGATTTCGAATAATTGTTCTTCATTCTTGTATCAGACAGCTTAAAATAGTCTGCTTGAGATTTAAATAAAAGATAAATAAAACATTCACCTGCTTTTACATCTGCACTGAATCCAGCAAGACATGCACCTTCTTCTTGACTATGACAAGGATCTACAGAAACATACTGCATAGATGTTCCAGTATATAAAGCACAATTTCCAATCCCAAGTGAACTTTTTGATTTAACTGATGATTTGTATTGATTAACCGAATTAACTGTTAAATCATTAGGAATTTCATTCAATAAGTCAGAATTCAATAAATAACGAAAATCACAACCAAGTTGTATTCCATCAACAGCGTTGTTTGCAGCTGCCACAGTCCCACCTAACCAATGAGATACTGAAATATAAACAGCAACAAAAGATTAAACTCCGGATTTAAAATTTACCATACAGAAATTAATTTATAAATGCTTTGAAATTTATATAAAAAAATCACTTTGACATAAACTTTTATTAACATATTTGACTTACAAAGTTGAATCCACGATTCAATCTAAGCTAGACCACCAATGAAAGCCTTGAAGCACTGTGCGGCCGTTTCGTCCTAGTATAGGACTCTTAAGCAGTACTCGTCCACGATCACGCATGCAGGATCACGCCTGAGACTGATGTTTCTGGGTGCAAGTCATGTATGTGGAATTGTAAATGCTCACTTCTAAGGAGTCCTATATTAGGATGGAATGGTTGTCCAGTGCTTCCAGGTTTTCAATGTTGGTCTAGCTTAGATTGGCTTGTGAATTCAATTTTGAAAATACTACAATCTCCACACATCCCCTAATATGATATTTGATTTAAACGGAACCAACTAATAATGTGATTAGTAATATTTTTGTAATATCCCAATGAGTAGAAAAATGGGATTTTCTGACGTTTCGTGACTTAGTGTAAACCACTTCTTCAGAGAGCAAATAACCAAATTAAAATTAATCCAAGTTTGAATAGTACGACGGAACAATAAGAATAATATGTGATCAATCAAAAATCAGGTCTGAACAAGTTCGACCTGATTGATCACATATTATTCTTATTGTTCCGTCGTACTATTCAAACTTGGATTAATTTTAATTTGGTTATTTGCTCTCTGAAGAAGTGGTTTACACTAAGTCACGAAACGTCAGAAAATCCCATTTTTCTACTCATTGGGATATTAAAAATATATTATTTACTTATAACAATCTACCCAATGCTCAATTTATTCGAAATTACCAAATCAAACCTTGATGGTGATACCTACATATTAATGTGATTTCTTGCATGGAGTAGAATTTGTTTTATTTTAGGCACAAATTTGACTAGTTTATATCCCTCCCGAAAAATTGACACTGGCTCAAACGTTTAAACTCACCTAAATGATCACCATAACTATTTGTCTTCATCATATATTTTACAATAGTTAAATTGTAGTGTTCCATTGTTTGAATACTACTATCATTAATTAAGTGAAGCACATATCAGTGATGATGTATCGTTACATGGCTTAAATAAGTCGTAGTCTATGAAACCTAAGTTATTAACATTATTGGATGTAGTATATCAATCTGAGAAATACAGTAATCATCAGAATTACAACTGTATACTGTTGAACGATCGAAGGTATTTCAGGTTATTTTAAAAGGGATATTTCTGAATAGAAAACAATAATATATATGAATATTCTTCAATATTAGAACGTATAGTTTGATAGGAATCGGGCGCCGAATATAAAAAAGACATTATTTGTGAAAACTATATTTGAAATAATCTCAGCGATTGAAATTTAAATAATTCCAACGTTTAGTCCAGCAAACTTGTCTGGATTTGTTTATCTAGTGGTAATTAGAATGTTGACTTTAGTGAGTAGGATAACATGAGTCTAAACAGGTTTTCTAGACGAGACGTTGGAATTATTGAAATCTCAATTGCTGAGATTACTTCAAACATTAATATGTTATTAATAATCTTGAACCTACTTGAATGTTTACGTCAGAATGTAGATAAAGAAAATGTTAATTACAATAACTAGATATAATTGGAGTAGTCATAGAAAAGGAAAAACAATTGTACAGTAACATTAATAGAAATTACTTGACAAAATGATAAGTAGCTAATATAGCATATAAACATTTAAAGCGTTACGTTACAAACTGTGAATAAATATGACATTTATGAGGAGTGTCATATTCTTATCCGCGTCTTAAACTGCAAATATTATTTAGGGTTTCAAATTGTAAATGTTGTAACTCAAATATTTATTTGCTCTGTTTCACTCTTTATTTAAGTGATTTCGATTAGCTTACTTTGGAATTATAAAAGATGAATTGACTAATAACAATTAAGTGAACCAAAAAAATAAGAAAGCACATACGTACTCAATGGGAGTATTAAGAACTTTAACAAAGGTTCTTTACGACGATATCATTTACTGAGACTGTATAACCGTATTTATATTAATTTAACATAAAGAGTGGTTTGATAGAAGATACAGTGAGTTTGTGTCATAAATTAGTAGATAAAAAGTGAATTTTTTCAAAATGAATCTTGCAATATTATTCTGGGTGATTGTCAAACGGAATATTCAATAGCTTATCATTGTACACCTTGTAAATTCCGATGATATTGTCTCATGGTGATAATCTTCCAAAGTAATCTATACGATCATTTTAACTAGCTCAAATAGGGTATGAAAGAAAAACTAGATCGCACTGAACAGGATTTCAGCAGTCCATTGATTGTAGCTTAGACTGCATATGAAGACAATATATTTAGTCTCTCCGCCTAAATTCATCCTAAACCCCCTTTTTCCTTTCTATTCTGAATAATCAGTTTTCATTAATTTCTTAAACTTTTCTCTAATAATTTAATAGTTAACTATTTTTACATCATTCAATTAACTCATTCAGTAGCTGAGATTATGAGTCGATTGGAGCTAGACCACCACGGAAAACCTAGAAGCACTGAACTGCCGTTTCGTCCGACTGTGGGACTCATCAGCAGTAGGACGAAACGGCAGTTCAGTGCTTCTAGGTTTTCCGTGGTGGTCTAGCTTCAATTGACTTATGATCTCAACGATTGAAATTACTATAATATTTACAAAATCATTTTCTGAAATTAATTAATTTTTTTGTTTAAATTCATTAAGCAGAAACTCGCTTGACTACTTTTCGATAAAATAGATTATTTTCGGTATTATGTCGTTCTTTTACACAATTCTTTAATATACTGCTAGATAAATACAATTTTATGGCTACAATAAACAGTTTCACTGAAGAGTTTACTTCGTTCACTGACCAGCCTTTATACAAACGAAGTGTCAATAAAAAAGATTAATAACCAGTGTGGTAGACACTCAGAAATATATGTCAACAATTACTTTTCACCAGATTATATCTAGTTGAAGTCTAACATAATTGATTTTATTGTTATTACATAGATGGTTTTTTGTACTAACTAATAATAGTTAAATAACTTGTTTTTCATAGAAATAAATGAATAAACTACAATAAACAAAGAAACATTTCTAAAATTTATATATGCTAGTTTTCATAACTTATCTAATACATCAAGTAGTAACGCAGGGCAACTGTGGACATTGTTGAGTTTTATAGTTTAGATGCCACAAGCTGATTGAAGTTAAATATATAAAACATTCGGCTCCAACTCGGCGATTTAAAGACTAGGCGTTCGTCGCATGACATAATATGTGTTCGACGCCCAGAGGAGTTATTAGTGTGTATTCCTGAATAGTCTCGTAACAAGAATAAAACTGTTGACCGGTGCTTCTTGGTTTTCAATGGTTGTCTAAATCAAGTAATAGTGTGAGTACATCACTAAAATAAAATGTTAAATTATTTGACAGCGTTAAATAAATATTTTTCTTCACCAGGCAAAACAATTACAAAATTCTATAATTGGATAAAATTTTATACCTTGTAATCTTTTATCCTTAAATTGTATTCAGACAGTAATTATTAGAATTAGAATGAGCATAAGACAAAATAACATGGTTTATTATTTATTTTGAAGATTCTTAACAGTAAGAACAAATTTTTTTTTCATTATTAACATTTCATTTTCATAACTCACATTAGTAACATTCCGTTAAAGCTTTTAGTAATAAGTAGTGAGTCAGTTATATAAGTAATTGTCATCTTGTATGTCGGATAAGCTATTTAATAAGTCATTTCAGAAAAACATTTTAAACACTTTGCCGATAGGAATAACACATCATTCTATTACTTCTATTGATTAATTAAGTAATGATAATAATCTTACATTTGTTTGGACTAAATATTGGACATAGTTAATACTAATTGAATATACATGTAAGTAGTGAATGATTTGGCGCGTAATTACATACTGTTTATTTCAAATGAAAACAAAACAAATATACTAATCATAACTGGTGAAACAATAAGATCATACCCTGGAGTTCAAGAAAATCTTGTATAAGTTTAGTAAAATAATAGAAGAAAAAACAATACTGTTTAATTTAGATTAATATATAACAGATTATAGGTGTACAGTCAAACGTGAATCATTTCGTTGTTAAATTTCAAACTGTTTAATTCACATTAAATGCAGTGTGTCATGTTTATTAGAACAAATAGACGGAACAAGACAATAAATGAAGGAAACATGCATTAGTGTATTCAGTTAAACAATTATGTTACCATGTTAATAATAAAAAAGAAAGCATCTGAATGACTTATTAATTGAAATTAAATTGTCTTAACTAATTCATATTTCTAAAACAAAACAAAAATAGTTAGTTGTTTTTACAATACCTAATATTAACTTGCACGTATGATTTCTAACGATTATGTTCATTTTAAGAATTAAAGAAGATTGAAATATTTTTAAAGATGAAAATAAAGAACATGCGTTGGGAAGTGTATTGTAAAAGTAAAATGAAGAAAACCAATAATCAACATTTAACCAATTTATTAGTAGTCAGCTGTAAGACTATCTAGAAAAATGTATGTGAAATCATGTTAAATCATAAGGTAGTAATTACTTAGTCATTCAACAAAATAGTTGAAAATTCCGTAGGTCTAAGATACAATTACACGTTAGTCAATGTATAATTGTAAATAATCCCAAATTATTGACCTTTATAATTAATAGCAGTATGTGGATTTCTGGAGATTGTGGAATTTTTACCACTGAAGTCACGAACTAATCTAATTCGGATCACATTAGAAAACCTGAAAGTATTTGATAGTCATAGTGTGAGATTTCTCAACACTGTGAATCCACCATGTCATACAAGAGAATCGAATAGAGGAACGCCCGTCTCACATTTAAACGCTTAACCTCTAGACCATTGAGCCGAAATCCAACGGTGTTAATGATCAACTT